TACCGCATTTCGAAGCGGTAATGCTAGCCAATGCATTACTTATCAAAGAGGGCTTTAGTGCACAGCAAGTTTTAGAAGTTCGCGAAGCATTACTCTTTATTACGGAAAGATTTACTTGCAGAAGCAGGGGGTGCCAATGGGCTCACCACTGTCAGCTGTATTGGCAGAGCTCGTCATGCGGCGCGTTGAACACAGCATTTTTAAATTCCCTCTCACCATAGCTTACCCCTTACTTTATTTGAGATATGTGGATGATATTCTTTTAGCGTGGCAGGATACAGAAGACTCCTTCTGGGTATTAGATCATCATTTATCAAAAATGTATGCCACTATACACTTCACATGGGAGAAGGAAGTTGGTAGAAAAATTGCTTTCTTGGACTTGCACATTCAAAAATCCCAGGAGGGCTTGGAGTTTTCCGTCTACCNGGTATTAGATCATCATTTATCAAAAATATATGCCACTATACACTTCACGTGGGAGAAGGAAGTTGGTAGAAAAATTGCTTTCTTGGACTTGCACATTCAAAAATCCCAGGAGGGCTTGGAGTTTTCCGTCTACCACAAATTTGGAAATATCCCACCCATAATACCGGCCACAGCCTGTCAGCCACAGCAATATGTTAATGCGGCCATAGCCCCCTTGATCAGACGGGCATTCTTACTACCATCGACACAACATCTTATCAATACCGAACTGGAGGCTGTCCGCACAGCGGTGTATGCGGCGGGATTTAGTGCCTCCAAATACATCCATGTCAAAAATAGAGTTATACAGTCTCTCTTCCCTGCCACCACATTGCGCAGACCAATGGATTGGACAACGCTCCGTCCCTCACTCCCATACTGTGGACGCTTCACGGCCCGGATCTGCCGGATTTTTAGGCAGAATGGCTTTCGTTTACCCATTGCCTCACGACCATGTCTGCGACGAATCTTATGTAATGATAGGGATGCTATTTCCACCCTGGAAAAATCTGGTGTATACTCCGTTCCCCTGCAGAATCCAATATCAGGACTATGCACCAATTATATAGGAGCGACTACGAGAATGCTGGCTGCTCGCATATCTGAACACCAACGTTCGGTGGCACTTGGCAATTGTGACACGGAACTTTCCAAATTGGTGATACAACACCACCACGTAGCGCTTTGGAATCGAGTGGAAATACTCAAACGCTGTGATGAAGGGAACTTGATATACATTTGGGAGGCCCTCCTCACAAAACTGCTCTCCCCGTGCAACACCCCTACCCTCGATTTACCGGACGTCTGGATTAATTTATTCAGGCGGTTAAAAAACCAACAATAATTTTGCATTCTCTTCCCGCACCTCCTACATGATTCAAAGCACATACATGTCGGCCCCTTTATGTGCGTCTTTTTACGTGTGTTATGTATTTTAAATTATGTCCCGCGCTTTAATATTTAAAATTTAAATTTTAACATAAACTTGCACTTGTGGATCTATTCCGATCGGTTTCTATGCTGTCTATGTTAAGGCGCATGCGTGCCAAAAATTTTATACGTATTTACAAAGTGTTTTAATTTAAATTCTAAAAATTTAATTGTTCTTAATAGACATCTAATTGGCTCTCATGTTATGCATGTTAAGGTGCACGTGCGCCAATTTTTCGCGTTCACAAAATAATTAATAGCCACTCCAATCGATGTTTATTTGTTTTAAAACGCATGCGCACCAATTTTAAATGTTTAATTCTAAAAATTTAAATTTAAAATCTTTTTTGTATGTTCAAAAACGGCTAGTATCGTTAATGTTTTAAATTTAAATGTATGGTTCGAATTCTTTATTCGAATTTAATTTTACCTGAAGACGACGTGCTTATTTACGTCGAAAGCGCTCGTAAATTAAAATAATTTCAAGTATATTTAACGCCTCATAGACTGACGTTCTTGGAAGAAGAAGTTTTGATTGACATAAGTTGGCGTGACATCCAACCCGTGAACTTAATACACCTAACAAGTAGCTAATGTTTTTGAATAATAATGATAATATTGCATATGTTTAACTCAAAGAAAAACTTAAGCTTACAAATGACCTCAAACAAAATAGAATAGAATGGACAAAATCAGTAATGAATCAGATTGACAAAATGGAAAAATGTGATGTTTTCAGATGAAAAAACTTTAATCTGGAGGGACCAGATGGTAATACAGATGTCCCTTTGTATAACACTGCTTTCCTACAACACTGTTCGAGAATTGGAGACATTCCTTGTATAAAATGTCAAAATTTTTAAGTGTAAACACCATTATTTGATATATTTTTTTTTAAATTCAAGCAATTGTTATGATTACAAGCATGTTGTTGAAAATACATAAGGGCATTTCTTTCAACTTTACAGGAGAGCAATTTAAAGAAAAAGAACTTCTTGTTTTCTTTGTAAATAGGAAACTATTGAGTATAAAGCACTGCTTTTATCAAGTTTTCATTTACAGTACTTGGTAAACACACAAGTTTATTGCTGGCTTCATTATCATTATTTTGGAGTCTTATTTTGAGATATGCTTGTATAAAACATAAAATAGAAAACTCTTTGCTGATTTAACAAGATATATATGCCTTTTATAATTAAGACCTAACTACAATTAAAACAAAAATATATAGGAACCTTGAATAAGTTCTTGCTGTTTTCCAACAGATGGTGTTACCAGAACCACGTGTGTGTATTTTTAGATGGTGACGCATCTGTAAGGAAGTACAATAAGCGTCCTCGAAATTCAGTATATGTCATTTTGCTGAAGTGTAAACAACTTATTTTTTCATTGTGTTAAACATGTTGAGTTTTGTGCCAAAAAAAGAGTATTTGCGGGGAATTTTATTGCACTATTTTATTCAAAAAAAATCTGCAGCTGAAGCTCACAGAATTCTTGTTGAGACTTACGGCGAGCATGCTCTGTCGGAAACAACATGTAGAGATTGGTTTAGACACTTCAAAAATAATGATTTTGATGTTGAAGATAAAGAACGATCTGGTGCACCAAAAAAGTTTGAAGACGAGGAATTGGAGGCGTTACTTCATGAAGACTCATGTCAGACACTAGTCAAACTTGCAGAATCATTAGGAGTTGATCACACAACAGTTTCGAAATGTTTAAAATGATTAGGAATGATTCAAAAGCAAGGACATTGGGTGCCATACAAGTTGAAGCTGAGAGATGTCGAATGGCGTCTTTTCACGTCTTTGAACAGCTGCTTCAATGGCAGAAAAGGAAAGGTTTTCTGCATCGTATCGTGACAGGTGACGAAAAATGGATACACTACGATAATCCTAAGCGTAGAAAATTGTGGGGTAAGCTCGGCCATGCATCAACATTATCAGCAAAACCGAATATCCATGGTTCGAAGCTTCTGCTCTGCATTTGGTGGGATCAGCTAGGTGTAGTTTATTATGAGCTGCTCCAATCAAATGAAACCATCATGGGAGATCGTTATTGACTATAATTGATGTGTTTGAGCCAAGCACTGAAGGAAAAACAGCCACTATATGAGCAGAGACACAACAAAGTGATTTTGCAACATGACAATGCTCAGCCACATGTTGCACAACTGGTGAAAACATACTTGGAAACGCTTAAATGGGAAGTCTTACCTCGCCCGCTGTATTCACCAGACATTGCCCCCTTCTAATTATCACTTGTTCTGATTGATGGCACATGGCCTGGCTGAGCAGCACTTCCATTCTTGTGAAGATACCAAAAAATGGGTTGATTCTTGAATAGCCTCAAAAGACGTGTCGTTTTTCTGATGTGGAATTCAAGTGCTGCCAGAATGATGGGAGAAAGTAGTGGCTAGTGATGGACAATACTTTCAGTGACATGTTTTTTATGACTTTTTTTAAATAAAGTGTTAATTTTCACAAAAAAACGGCAATAACTTATTTAAGGTCCTTATACATAAATCAAATTAAAATGTTTCCAGATAAAATGCATTTCAGGCATATTATGTATACTTTTTTAAGTTTTATAAAGCATACATTTAGGTGCACCTGATGCATACAGGTTGCTCCTGGGTCAATTGGGCATGTCAAATGTGATTTTGAAAGTTTCACTTGGGACATTTTGAACTAAAGGATACAAAATGTATGGAGTTCCCAAAAACTGTTGATGAAGAGAAATTTCAAAAAAAAAAAAATTGTTAAAAATTGATGAATAACAATGCATGAACTTGCAACAAATCTGTTTGTCACCGACATGATTGTGTTCTGCATGCATAAGTGAAAAAAACAAATTGGATTGAGTATAATTTTGTGTGACAAAGGTAGACAGGTCCAAGGTTTCATTTTATTTTTAAATTTGTTATTCATTTTTATCATAGAAACTTTTTCACAGATGATAAAATAAAAATATTTGTTGTTAATTGAAAATTTGTTCTCATGGGTGGTGTTTGTTTGGTCAAATACCAAGGTACTTCTGTATTTGATTAATGTGATTTTGATATACACTGTAGCATTGAGGGATCAATTAATTGCATTAATCAAGGGATACCTGTATTTTGAAACAGTAAATGATTTAGGGCTTCACATGTGTTTGAATTATGCTGTTTTTGCATCTTAGAAGCTTGAAAACTTAAAAATTGTCTAGTTTTGACTTTGAGTCTATGGAAACATTTAATTAAGGAAACTAGAACTACAAAATATCAAATAATCAGCCATAAGGTTTGTATGGGGGTCCTTTCTAAAGATTACTAATGGATTGAACCTTTTCATTTATATCTTGGTAACATTGTGGTGAATTTTTTTATTGAATGTTCATTCTTAATTTGTAGTTTGGAAGTAGTTAGTTCAAAGAAGGCATACTTAGAAATACTTAGAAATGATCATTGATTGAAGTGAGGCCCAAGTTTTGAACATTGATGTAAATTGTGTATAATTCAAATTTGTTCTTTTAAAAATTATTTTTAAAAGAGGTTCTACTGTAATAATTATTTTTCATATATTAGTTAAATTAATATTTATATCAAAACATTACTTTATTAGATAGGAGATCATGGAGCAAATTTAAGTGGAGGACAAAAACAGAGAATATGTCTTGCAAGAGCTCTGTATGCAGACAAAGAAGTCTATATTCTTGATGATCCATTATCAGCTGTTGACTATCTTGTTGGACGTCATGTTTTTCAACATTGCTTAAAAGGAGCTTTGAGAGGGAAAAGTATTTTATTTGTCACTCATCAAGTTCAGGTAAAATTTTATTTCTACACAGTCAAACTTTTATCTAAGCCTTTAAATCCTGAAAAAAATTCTGTATAGGGAAATTTTGTTATAATACTTTTTGTTAAATACACTATTATTTTAACGTAATTTTTCTGTTATTTTTCATAATTTAAATATTTACAAATGTTATAACTACCTTTACTAACCTTTAACATGCAGTCTATTTTATTAACATAATCTAACATTTTCAATCAAATTAATTGACCTTTGTCAGGATCAAACAAACAATTTTTTGATTTATGACGAACGAAACTGATTATAGAACATTTTAAGTTTAAACGCTTTCTAAGTGCTTATTGCGCAAGTCCGAAAATAAATAAATAGAATCTACAGATTGATAATGTACAAATATACGCATACACTAACACATTATATTATGTTATTACTATATATTAATGTAACTTTAATTTTAAGTAAATTTGCATTTGTGTGTTAAAATACTTACAAGTTAGTTTAACTACATTTTCATAAAAAATTTGTAAATTTTTGTTGCACAGAACAATTGAAAAATGTTCTCTCTTTGTAATATGCTTCAAATGTATTAATTGTGTTAAAACTGTCTCATCTACATTAATTTAAACACAAGTTCTAGCACATTTTTCTGCAGATCTTGCATCATCTGCTAATTTCAAAAGTAATTTGTGATTTTTATTTATTTATTATGATTGATAAACTTGCTGCAATGTCTTTCTTTCTTGAGTCTTTATCGACTTCCTGCAACACATTAATTTTTTTAGTAATGCTTAAACACTTTCACTTTGACATTTTTGTACTACAGTATAGAACCATCCACTCTCAAACCTGAAGTTAAAATAAAAAGTGAAATGCAACGTTTCAATTTTAATCTTTGAGAACTTGATAGACAAAACTTATGAAAGTTTCTTTGAACTTTACATAGCATTCAATACTGTAAAATGATTTAATTATGACACATCTTAGCCACCTGCAAAGTAAGACTGCTTTCTCAGTTAAATACTGTACTGTACACAATAAAAAATGTCACAGATATCAATATTTATTGTACAGGCTGCCCTGATTTTATAACAGGGATGCATTCCCAGAGGAAGCTGCATAAATGAAATTGGTGCAAAATTAATCCATTATACTGTAACTAGTAGCCTGGGACGCCCCCTAGTGGGCTTTCTAGCATTAGTGGTGTCATTCCATGGTATAAATAATAAAATTCATGTAAATAATAAATTCCTATTACAAATAAAAATAATAATATATACTGTTAATAAATAAAATATATACTGTTATAAATAAATTATACTATTAATTTAAAAATAGCTGAAAATCATTGCTGCATATGCACCCTAGTGTGCGTTCTAGGCATTCTGTGACAGATTACAGATGACAGATATACAAACAATTGGATCAATGGCTTATATAAGTAGATGTATTATGAAGTGAATAAGGATGTGTTCCAGGATGTCCAAAAATTTATACAGTACAATAATTTTTTTAATAAAAATATGTTAACTATAAGTTACAGTATTAAATTTATTTATTTTAATACATATATACTGTAAATACTGTACAGTACAGTAATACTATAGCTCTAAAACATTCATTAATGCCACTTTTTCTTTGTGATTTGGGTTTTGTTGCATAGTGCTATACAGTATTAAATTTATTTATTTTAATACATATATACTGTAAATACTGTACAGTACAGTAATACTATAGCTCTAAAACATTCATTAATTGTAAATTAAGTTCAAATGCTCTCATTGACATATAATCTCTCTCCCCTTCCTTACAATTGGTAATCACACAGGGAGCAGATTAGATAGTTTAAAAAGCTTATGACCAGTATTTCTCACACCTGGGTCATCTATACTAATATTATAAAGAGGTAATGTTTGTAAGTATGTATGTAAGTTTGTTTGCAGCAGGTAATCTCTGAAACTACTCATTCGATTTCAAAAATTCTTTCACCAATATTTAGAATGGAACCTCAGGGTGGACATAGGCTGTATATTATTCCATTAAACATTCATATAAATTAAAATATATAATCTAGGTTAAGGCTTTTATGTCCAACAGATGGCGCTACGAGTACGACGCCCTAAGTTTGCTTTTCTGTGAGGCATTATGCTTTTCTGTGAAAATGAACTAAAGCAGATCATCTTCTATCTATCTATATAAATAAAAATGTAATGTTCGTTTGTTCCTACCGATTCCTTTGAAATTTTGACACAACGCTGCATTCGAATACGCACGTGTTTTTATATAATATATGTGTTGAAATTCCCACCACTGAAGGGAGATGGTTAGGATTAAGGCTTACGGTAAAGAACTCTGCTTCTATTATATTATTTTAGATGCGGGTTTTTGCGTTTTTGATTGCGTTTTAATAGGGTACGTCAAGAGAATGTACACTAAGAAGAAATTTTTTAAAAAATTTCCCCCCATGGGGAAGTGTTATACATTTATAATAGATACATTTTGAGCCACAATAACGCGTGGCGGGGTCTGCTAGTGGTTTTATAAAGGGTTTATAGATTGATACCTGAAATTGAACCTAAATTAGAATTCATCCCAGTTGGAGTAATCGACTTTTAATGATCAACAGTCCTTATAAATTTAAAAAAAATTTGTTATTTAGAAGCAATTCTGCATATATTTTTTGGCTGAAAGAGCAGTATACTATGCAAGAATTTGTTATACAGAGAAATTTGCTATATAAAAGTTTGTAATATCGAAGTTTGACTATATATTATAACTTCTTATTCTTATATAAGCATGTGAAAGCATATAACAACAAGATTCAGTATGTTGATAATAGGAACCAATTTGATTATTATGTTCTACAAATTTATTCAAATATTGTTCATAATTTGTATACAATTGTGTTAGACTTAGAATTGAAAATAATTATTATTGTTTGTATTGACAAAGTAATGAGCAAATATCACTTGTGTATTTTTGGATTTGTGAGATTCAAAAAATCAAATGAAATAGAACAAAAGAATCATTTAAATTTCCAGTAATTTTGAAATTGAGATAGCATATCAAAAAGAAATATCTAAATTTTATGATTGAGTATTAATGAAGAAAAAACTTTGATTATATTTAAAAAGCTTTATTTGGTATTTTACTGTGTTTGAAAACTATAGTAATAATTTTTTTTCATTTTGTAGTATCTAGAAGAATGTGATTCAATTATTTTAATGAGGGATGGTGAAATAAGTGAACTAGGTACACATGAAGAATTATTAACGAGTAGTAGTGAATATTCAGTATTAATTCAAATGTTATCAAAAAATAAAGAGAAATTATTGGAAGAAAATGAAAAATCAAAAGTTGGTAAGTTTAATAAAACATTTTATAAGTATAAGCTAAATAGCACTAGATGTCTTGATTTACAATTTACATATAACTTGCACAATACAGATAACACTTAAAATTTTAAGAATTAATTATTAATATAATTAGAAGATTAGAATATGTATTGCCTTCTAACTTAGTTCCAAATTATAAATGATTCATTTAAAAAAGTCATATTTTGGGTTAGTGTTTATATTTATTTTGTAAACACTTACAATTAATTAACACTCTTTTCAAATTTAAATATGCAGTTTGTTCTCCAATATTACAATATTATTATTGTAATAAAAACTAAGAATGCATTAACATTTCTTGTATTTGCAATTTCATACAATCAGTGAAATTTGTTGTTTCTGTATTGCATAAAATATATATGGATGTCTGAACTGATAATTATCTGATATGTTGTTAGTCTTTCATTTCATTGATTTATTAGTTTTTATTTTTTATTGCTGTTTTCTGTCTAAGCTTATACTTTTTTTTTTATTAAAGATGTATTTGTGTTTGTGTTTTACTAATATTTTTCTTATTTTAACAGTTAGAAGAATTATTTTATTTTCATTTTTTTTTACTGTCAAATTGTTACTCAAAATATTTGAACAGAGAAACTTCAATTGTATTTTTGTAGAAATTAGAACAAAACAATCAAAAAACTCAATTTTACAAGGAAAAAGGTCATACTCAATGCCTATGGAATTTTTTTTAAGGTTTTGTTATCTAATAGTAGTGTAAATAAAATAAAACTATTTCTTAATGCTCCAAAGAAATTACTTTGGAGAAAACAAAATTTAATTTTTGAATATGATGGTAAAACAATTATCATTTTGTATTTTGATGCTTTCCAGTCAGATTTTGATTCTAAAAATATTTTATTTTCATTGCATTTTGGCTATTTTACTTCTTTTTATAAATATTTAAGCTAGATAAATGTTCCTTATATTTGCTTCATGCCTGGTTGTTGTCTCTTAGTTTCATTAATGGCCATCAACATCTGCTGTAATACCAGACTTATTATATACAGGATAGGAATTATCACTTGATTAGGAAATAATCAACATTTATTGATTAGGATTATACAAGGAATGCATTTCGGATCAACCTATCCCTCGTCGGCTCCTATTCAAGTTATACATTGTCAGCAATCATACATCTTTTAAACAAATGAATATATGTAAATAAGAATTCCACTTACACTTTTTGATGATGACTATCTTATCTGTTTTTGAAAAAAAAGACCACCAACTTTTTTAGTATACTACAACAAAAGTTAACACCACTAGAATTACATTTTTCACTTTTAACCACCTCCAGTTCCAAAGCAATTTTTACATTCCTACTCCCTTTCACCCTTGTTTTTTTTTCTAATTCTATGTATATTTATTTATTTAAAAGATGTACGATTGCTGGCAATGTACAACTTGAATAGGGGTTGACGAGGGACAGGCTGGTCTGAAATGCCTTCCTCATATAATATAAATCAATAAATGTTGATGATTTCCTAATCAAATGATAATTCCTATCCTGTGTATAATAAGTCTAGTATTACAGCAGATGTTGATGGCCATTAATAAAACTAATAGATAAATGTTCTTTATATAATTCTGAAAAAGACATTGACAGTTGTCAAAAACAGTTTATTTTATATATATTAATTTGTATTTCTATATATAATGTTAATGTTTAAATTAATTTTATTTATTCTAAAACTTTAAAATTGTTTGTATTTTTAACAAAAAATGTATTTTAAATTGAAATACAAAATAATTGCATATCAATTTATATAAGAAAAATTATCATTTATAATTTAAATAAAAATAATATATGCTTCATTACTAAAGCCATCCTAATGTATAATAAAATTTATAAATTTTTTCACGAGTTTTTTAAAAATTATTGCAAATACTGATAATGACGGTTTGCATTTAATATATTAGGCTGAATGATTTATATTGGAGTGATTATGAAATAATAAGACAAATGATTGCCATATTGAATCAGGCTACCTCAATATGATGATTGTGTTGATGAGAGTATCATGGTACTCTCCTAGGGAGATTCAGGTGGCACTTAAATCTTTCCATATATAAGAAGACCCTGTTCTGTGTATACCCTCCTCTTGTTTTTTTTTTTTTTTGTACATCTACTGTATATAGTATATATTAAACTCTATTCTAACCAAGCAGTTCCTTTTACTTTATCTTGCTACCACACACTGCATCAACTACAACAGATCGTTTGGCTTATTATTAAAAAACATCAGGCTTTGAGATGTTTATAGATTATAAAATAATATGAACATTTTAAATGAATTTTCTCATTCATTGTTACTATAAAATGTTTTGTACTAAATTACTGTATTAATTTAATAAAAATGTTTTGAAGATATCTGTTCATATCTTAAAGTACAACATGCCACAGTAAAATTTGATCAGTTTGTATGATTTATATTGGAGAGATTATGAAATAATAAGACAAACAATTGCCATATTGAATCAGGCTAATTCAATATGGCGATCGTCTTGGTGAGAGTATCATGGCACTCTCCTAGGGAATGAATGAGGGTTATCAACAACATTCTCCTTGTCATAATTTTTGCTTTCATCACTCTTACTAGTTAGCTAAAAATGATGTTACATAATTACTAATTTACAAAATAAGAAAATGTAAATAATGTTTGCTTGAATAAAATGAAAACAGCAAAACTATAGTAAATGTAACATTTTTAGCTAATTAGGAAGAGTGATGAAAACAGAGATTGTGAGTAGAAGAATTATATTCATATGTCATACAAACAAATTAAATTTTACTACAGCATATTGTACATAAAAGAATATTCATATATTTACAATAAATAATAAAATAAAAAGTAGAGAAGGAAGGAAAAAAAATAGTTATTATAGATATTGTAGAATTGGCTTAATCGGGGATGGGCAACTTATTTGTTGTTGTGGCCATAGCAGCAAAATTATTGCATGTCAACTTAAATGTAAAAATTGATGGTATTTTTTAATCAAGTTTTATGAATTTTGGATGAATATACATGCTCAATGAATATCTTAGCGTACAAATTAGATTATTTTCTTTAGAAAATGATGATTTTTACACACTTAAAAAATATGTAGAAGAGACTAAAATGTCTTCATTTTTTTGCCATGTTCAATCATTAGGAACAACAGTCTTTCATTGTAGAAACAACCTTTTATTAGAGGCTACATCTTTGCAAAATTATGCAAAAGTGCAAAAAATGAAGACATTTTAGTCTCTTCTACATATTTTTTAAATAAAATTACATTAATTTTTTTAATATAAAATAGACATTCTAATCTTAAAATATTTGCAAATAATCCCTAATTTTGATTTTGATTTCGATTAAAGTAAAATAAATCTTTTATTGTAAAAAATTTAGATGGAAATTAAAAATCACATCTGAAGTTTTATTTTAATTATCATAAATCACAATTCAGATAGTTTAGATTTGACATTTTAAAGATTTGTATGAATGCAATCAATACAAAATGATAAGAGTTGAATCTGCATAATTTAAAATATTGGGTATAATGAAAAATTTTTAAAGTATTAAGAATATCAAAATTTCTTAATGATTTAACTTAAGTTTTGTTTTAAAAAGTTTTGAGTCTTGTTACTTTTAAATTCTTGCATTATTAAAAGTTAAATTTTAAAAAAGATTTTGATTTTCTTGAATTTAGTTTGTAATGAAGAACTACATATATTTATAATTTTAAAATAAATTTATATATATAATAATAAAATTTTAGGACACATAAGTGAAAAAGAACCAAAGAATATGTCAATATCTCTTGATACCTACAAGTGTTATATGAAGGCTGCAGGTGGTTATATTGTATGCTCATTAGTATTAATATGGTTTCTCTTCTATGCTGCTTTGGCTGCTTTCAGCAATTGGTGGCTTGGACATTGGCTAAAGCAAGGAAATGGAGTGAGTTTGTTTATAATAATTATTGTGATTCAACGTTTTTGATGTAATAAAATGAAATAAATTTATTTATATATATTTTTTTATTAGTTACTTTAATAATTTTGTTTTAGAGCAAGTTTTTATAATTTAATAAAAATTTCAGATTGTATCTCTGTTTTCATACTTTTAATAAACATTTAACATTAATATCTTTTGTGGTGTGGGACAAGAACAAGAGAAATTGTTATAAATGATGTAACACTTTTATTTACTGACTAGTTTTTTAAGTTTGGCACACAAAACAATGTCTTCTGCTTATTCATCACTTGATCCTCAGGAGTATCTTGTGTTAGAAAAATTCAATTTAATAGACACAAACCCCATTAGATTGCTTATTTGCCTATATTACTTCAATAATTTTTCCTTTTATAACAGAAAATTAATATGTCTTTTACATTTAAGGCACATAAATATTTTTTTTTTATAGTATATTTACTATGAGAATATTCGTATCTTGAAATCCATAAGCAGAAAAATTGAATCACATTTTGAACTACTTTATAGTTTGTTCTACAATGCCCAATCAATGTGCTGTGCTTATTCCTAACACCCACTAATCAGTTATAACAATATTTACAATGAGAAAGCTCGTACCAGGTAGAACCAGTCAGACAATATTACATGAGTTATTTTGTAGATGGCACCAGGGATTAGATTGCTGAATACAAGCTAGCTCATAGTTGGCACTCAACATGTTAATTCTTAATAAAAACAAAACAAAGTTCACTTTTATAAAATTTTAAATTGGTAGTGAAATTTTGGATAGTGCCAAAAAATCATATATGTTATTACATAAGAATTGATGCATGTCTATGTTAAATTAGGACTACAAAATTTATCAAAATAATTGGAATCATTAATTAAATAAAACTAAATATTAAATATCGTTTAATAACAATTGTGGTTGATAATGATCATTAACTATCATTAATTCAGCTTTATAATGATCAATAACAATAGAATATTTTTTTAATAATGTGATAGACGTTGTTACATCTCTGATAGTAGTACATTTATGTTTGGTTATTTATAAAGAAATAAAAGCTTGACTGAATTACCAGTAAGTTGGCTGTAAAGTTCAGATTTTATATCATTCATTATAGAGAATAGCTTTTGTAGGTGCATATCAATGAAAATATTATTAAAATTGCAAGAGCAAGTTTCTTTAATGAAACAAAAGTTTATGAAATTGAGTTCTAAGTTCTTAACAGTTTAATCTCAATATTTTTTTAATTATTAATCGTCTTTCTGAATTTTTGATTTCTGCTTTCAAACATAGTTGGATTGGAACTCTATCTACATTTCAATATTGTCAGATTGCACTCAATTTCAAGTGTTGGTCATTAACAAGTTAAATTTGTCAAAATACTTCTAAAATTCATTAAAGATTCATTATTTATATTAATTAAAAAATGTTTGTTATTAAATTGGTTAGACAATCTTAAATGAATTCAGTTATAAATACTGTTTATTTTTTTAAATCAGATATAATACTTAAATAAAATACTGTTTTCTCACTTAAATCCTGAGATTCAAAAAACCCTGTTCTTTGAATAAACTTTGGGGAATAAAGGTATTGTTAAAAATAAATTTTTTGTTGGAAAGCATGGAAAACATGTTGAAGTACTCCATTATATATAGGATAATGTAGTTTCGAGTGACAGATAAGAAATTTAAATAAAATTCTACCTCTTCAAATTATGAAGAGTCTGGCAACAATTTTTATTCCAGGGTTCATGGGAACATTTTTGGAAATAAAATTTTTAAAATATTGTTTAATATTGAGCATGAAAAAATTGCAATTGAGTTCATAAGTCAAGCTTATCAGTCAAAAGCAATTGGAAAACTCAAATTGGAGATGTTGAGTGTGAATCAGAAGATAGTACTCAAGATTTTGATCTCAACAATTAGTAATACATAAAAACACAAATGACAATGTAACAACCCAAATCAGAAGACATTGAATTGAATTAACTATGAAAATTAATTATTTTAAAAGTTGTAGTCACAACTCATAAATACACTCAATAAATATTTTTGATAGTTTCAAAAGTGTATAAGTAAATAATGTATTTCTTTCAATTTTTACCCACTTGTCTCCTGTTGTATGGTAATAAACCACAGCCTTGAAAAACCATGGAGGATATATACATTTTAAAAATAAACCTCTGGAGTTTAATCAAGGAAATATGGTATATATAATATAATATAATACATAAATGAAATAAATGAAAATTATTCAAATGTTTTTACCGTAGAATTTAATCATCTTAAATTGTTAAACCTTATATTGATTAACTAATTACAATTATTATTATTACAATCATTACATACCATAAATTTTTGCAAATCATATTTTTTGTTATTTTTTATGCTTTCCATAAATGAAAATCATGTAAAATAATTGAAATTTGTCATTAGCAGTCAGGCATTTATGATAGCATTGACATTAGTAACATATTGATCTTGTATATGCATATACTGATGATACTTATATTATATAAAACTCTACCTCTATGTTATATATATAATAATATAAATTTAAATAAGCAGTAGAGAATACTTTCATCTATATTGACTATGACATCTTATGTTGGAATTATTTTATAAAGACTATTTGAATATAGAATAAAATATTCAAATATATTTAGATTTTTAAATTAATACAGAAATACAATAAAATTACGTAATAGAAACAAACAATTTATATTTCAGAAAAAAAATTTAAAAAATATATAAAATTCTGAATTTCTGAGAATTGTAATGATGAAAATATAATTTTAGTATAACTTTTCTCCATCTTAAGTTTGTCATTAATTGTTAATTTCTCTCTTGTGCTCTAATATTTCTATCTTAACAATCATCTTTTATTTGCTTCTATATAATGTAACATATTGAACCCCAACCTTTTCAGAGTAATTTGATACATACTCTATGGATTTCTGTCATTAACAAAAAATATAACATATAGATCAATATACTGTTGGTAAATTGAATAGAAAGTGTTTGCTAATCTTAATAACTTTTAAGTTAATTGTTTCCTAAAATTTAAAGGAGGTAGTAAAAATTTAGCATCTAACTTAAAAGGAATAAAGTTGAATAATAGAAATTAAGTATATTTGGTTTTACTGTACCAAATTGCATTGATCTGATTTGAAAACATGAGAAATGAGATTATGCATGTTGTGTGATGATGAGTGATTCGAACTTTATTAATTGTGGAACACAAAACAACTTCTCTGTTGTGTAGTCACCATTTTTGTTTATGGTGCTTCCTAGAGGTAGTAGACAACATCACATTTAAATGCTGATGGGAGATGAAACCTAGACAGTTACTTTAATGATTGGTGTATGTTGCATACTTCTCAGACAATAATTAACATAATTACAGTAATTTAAAATTTTAGCATTTATTTTGAAAGATCCTTTATATAGTATATGGAATTTTTAATTAGTTAGTATCATGATATATTAGTTTGTTTTTATTTGAAATTTAATTTAAGCATTATACTAAACAATTATTTACATCAGAAAACAGATAGATCCCAGGAATATTCATGAAAATAATCAGAATTTATTCATTTAAGATTTTTTTTTGAAGTAATATTAGTAATGAGATATTACTGACTATAAGTTGTTAAAAAATAAAAATACATACTTCTTTAATAGAATATATAATAATTGATAGATAAATGAAAACAATATAATAGTTAAATAATTGATAATAGATTTTTAATTTAAAAATTATATCTTCGATAAAAAAAACTTTGAAATTTTATGTAAGATTGTTTTAATAATTTTATACTGTATTATTAAATATCCAATATAAATTGTATGTTTAGTTTTATCATCATTTTGTATATGCTTTAAATTTATTTTCTTATAATAGAGTTTGTTTGTTTCAGAATTCCAGTGATAATCAACCAGACATTATTGAAGTGGAAAAGGATAATATTTCTCTAAATCCACAACTAAGCTTTTACCAGTTAGTATATGGTTTGTCTGCTGTAATGTTATTGGTGATTGGTGTTATCTTAGGATTTTTATTTTCTAAGGTAATTTTGTTTTAAACTCTTACAATCTATATAGATGTATATAATTTTCACATGAATCACATAAATTTGAATTAATTATCTAAATGATTTGATCAAATATTTAAACAACAATCTTAATAAAATAAGTTTGAATAAAATTAGTTTTAGTTAAATAAATGGCAATGATTTAGTTTCCTGATGATAAATTCTAAAATAAAAAAATTATCATTGTTTATAAAAAATGTTTATTTTGTTGAAAAATGAGTAAATAGGTTAAACTTATTTTATATTACTCATTCAAAAAGGACTAAAATTTTTACAGTCTGTAAAACTCAAAAGAACAGAATTCTAATGTGTATTTTCAGAATAAAATCTGCTAAAACACGATAAAAATTATTTTTAATTATGCAGACTTAAGACAAAATATAGAACTGATTAAATCTTAGTCCCCAATGAATTTTCAAGTTGAGATGTCTAGAATCATAAACATTTTCTCTAATAAATTTTCAGATTATGAGCCTTTCAGGGATTACATACAGGGAGGCCATAGAAAATTCAAGATTGATAGCAATTATCAGTTATTTTCATTGGTTACATAAGCTAGTGTTGTAATTCCTGGACAGGAATTACAATACTAGTTTGAGATGTAAATACATCAGTTCTCTCTAGCACTTGTAGAATGCATTGTTTCAGAATCAACTATGGTTGAAAGATATTCATCAGAACTGCTTTCATGCATGTTGTCGTATGATCTGGTCATCAGTCCAATAAGTGACATTACTGTAATGTCACTTATAAGCCAGATCACTAGTCTGGAAATGCTTTATCATATTGATGAAAAGCATCTGTACTGTGGGGTTTGACCTTAGGCTCATGAGTGACATTGCTGTAGAATCAATATATGCTATAGAAAGAATTGCAGTGTGCAGTAACTTTTGGATACCCTATATATACAAAGGAATGCTTACATAAGTTATCTATTGTTTTATATTGTTTAACTGTAAATGATTATGTATTTTGTATTGTAAAATACAATAGCCATTTACATTTTTAAATAAATTGGATAATGAGATTGTCATTTATACATCTTTTATTCAGTAATACTACAGACATCTTTTACACATTTTCTGCATATACGAGGGTAGTCCCAGAAGTAATTGACCTAACAAAGAAGAGAGAAAAAATTTGAGAAAACATATCTTTATTTTTCAACATAATCTCTTTTTAGCTCGATAGACTTTTCCCAGCGATGTTAAATAGCTTTGATCCCCTGTTTATAGTGAGAACTGTTGAGTTTCTCAAAATAGCCACCAACCACAAACTCCACCTCTTCATTGTTGGCAAATCTTTTACCACCAAGCCATTTTTTTCAAGTTTGGAAAGAGAAAATAATCTGAGGAGGGCTAAATCTGGCAAATAAGGTGCATGAAGAAGCAATTTGAACCTTAACTCATTGATTTTGGCCATCTTAATAACGGATGTGTGAACTGGTGCGTTGTCTTGATGGAACAACACTTTCTTCTTTTTTGCCAAATGTGGCCGTTTTTCTTGATTTCATCACTCAAGTGCTGCAGTAAGTTTGCATAATACTCGCCGTTTATTGTATTTTCTTTTTTGAAAATAATCAATGATAATTATCCCACGCGCATCCCAAAAAACTGATGCCATGACCTTGTCAGCAGATGGAACTGTTTCCACCTTCTTTGGAGCTGATTTTCCTCTTTCAGTCCATTGTTTTGACTGTTATTTTGTCTCGGGTGTGAAGTGATGGGCCCATGTTTTATCCATGGGTATGAATCGACACAAAAACTCGGCTTTGTTGCTGCGAAACATTACCAAACACTCGATTGAAACATCCTCACGACGCTGTTTTTGTCTCATTGTGAGCAAATGCAGCACTCATCTTGTGCACAGCTTTCTCATGTCCAAATTTTCAGTCAAAATGCGATGTACAGCACTTTTTGAAATGCCAACCATGTCTGCTAGCTCTCGCATTTTGAGTCGATGGTCATCCAATACGATTTTGTGGATTTTTTTCGCCATTTCTAGCATGGTCACCTCACTTGGTCGACCACTGAAATGTTCGTCTTGGCAGCTCGTACGGCCTCGTTTAAACTCTGCCACCCAATATTTTATTATTGTAAACGAGGGAGCAGACTCCCCCAGAGTAGAATCTAGCTCAGCTTTAATATTAGTTGGACTGAAACCTTTTAAATGAAAGTATTGTATCACATAACAATGACCAATTTTTTCCATGTTTACAAATTCACTGAGATTGTTCACTATTGATGGCTGCCAAAAAAATACTAAACAATGTAGCATCTTCAAACTTCAAACTTAAGCTTTATAAGGTTGATACTTTCGAACACAGTAGTTTTTTTCAAACAAGTACCACCATCTATATGTCAGGTTGGATATTTCTGGACGACCCTCATATTTTTTAAAATACTTGTAAATTTAAGTTTATCTTCCTAATGTTTGATAAGCAATGCATTTGTAATGTATGATATATTTTGAATTTTTTTAAATTAAAAAGTATTAATATATATTAAAAAAGATATTATTTTTAATTAATTATTATGTTATATATATACATACATACACACACACATTATTTATTAATACTGAATATATTGAGTTATATTGTATAATGTTTTTAATTAATTATCTAAAGTAATAAATTTATTAATCATTACATCTAATAAATTAAAAAATATTATATGTGGGATATTTTTTAAAATAAGAACTGTTTTACAATAAAAAATGAACCAGTAAACATTAAGAATACTTTTCTTTTCTCAGATTCTACATGTTTTACTTTATACTATTCTTTATTTTTTCTGTTGTTGAAACATTTGTCATAGCATGAGACCAGTTTCTATAGATCTGTATCATAGAAGTGTGCACCAGAGTGGATAATCATTCCTGAACCATTGTTTTTATTTCTTCATCAGTTTGGAAATTCTTGCCAGCAAGGAACCTTTTCAGATGCAGGAAGATGTAAAACCGTAATTTCATATTTCTTGCAGTCAGAAAGCAAATAACCTGAATAATAATTAACCTTATTATACAGACAACAAGCCACTTGATCTTCTTAAACATTTCCATCACACAACATGAAACACATACACTGCTGACATGATTCAAAATGGCATCTGTTTGTGTGCAAGGGATGCTAGGAGACATTACAAATGTGCAAAATTGAAGTGCTTATTTCCAAAGTGGCATATCTCCAGGAAATACAAATTTCCAAAAACTGCAAATTTTAAATAATTGCTTGAAATGTTAAGGTAAAAACTTAATTTTTGGTACAGAGCTTTATTTTTATATTCTGAATATAGGTTTAACAGTGAAAAAATCCTGAGGCAAAGGAAATGCTAGTTTTGGTACTTCAAATCATGGACTTTCACCAATTAGAACAAAATTGCATCATTTAAATGAATAATGTACTGTAATAAAAACAACAAATAGATGGTCAAAAACTTTTACTATATAAAAACAAAAGAGAATATACAAAATGTGATACAAAACAAAAATGATAATTACATGAACCTTGTTCATATGACTGAAGATAATAAAAAACTGTGTTTAAAAAACTATACTAATTCCAAAAGAAAAAAATACTTAATGATTACATAAAATTGATAAAAATCATATTGTAATTGTTCTGTCACAGTACCTATTTAGAATCAATCACTTTCTAAACAAGAAAACACTTTTTGTAAAATGTCATTGCAGTATGCCCATCACTTATTCCCAGTTTATTTAAAAGTTTCTTCACATTATCGCTCTTTTCCAGCTTAAGTTTATTCTCCAATGGTAACAAATCAACTAATAGATATGATTATTTTTTATCTCTTTTTAAGATTGTATGTTTGCATGTTTGCACATTCCTGATCTCTCAGAAGTGTTGTTTGCTACAAACATATTTAGAGTTTATTCTGATTACTTTCATTTCAGATAATTTAAAATCCAATTTTGACTTAATGTATGAATAAATTACAAGTTTTCAATTACCAAGTTGCCAGTCTTTACCAAGAATTTGTCCTATATGCTCAAAAATTTTATTATAGTCTTCTGGTAAAAGAAGCAGTTCTGTTTTTCTTAACATTTTTTCCATCCTTCCAAAGGCACTATTTATGGGTAAATAACTGTGACCCTGCAATGGATATGTAATCTCAAAAGTTACACTATACATATCTGAAAGTTTACTTAGAATTACTAATAATGTGTAATTTTTGTTTATGTACTGCAACCATCACAAAACATTAATTTTCTTGATTTTTGGATTTTCCTTACGAAAATTTCTACAAAATAAGGATGCGACCTCTTTCTAGCATATCGACTAAATAGTTTTTGAACTTCTTTAGAAAATGTGGCCATTATTAAAGAAAAATTAAGAAAACAATCAAACACAATAGCACTTGCACTTCAGAAAGCAGTCATTACTATGAAATAGTCATGTGACCAATATACACTTTGTAATTGGCTGTTATGGAAATGTGACAGTTTGGAAATAAATACAAAACGAAAAACATCACATTTGAAAAGAAAGCCAACCAAGAAACCATTTTTTCAACAAAAGAAACACCTGTTTCGGAAAAAAATATTGTAGCACTATAGAGAAGCATATCAGTGTGTTGGTGCCATGAACTAAAAAAAAATCAAAGATGGAGATATGTTACTTTGGAAATAAGCTCTTCAATTATGAATGTGCACATTTTAAAAAGATATTGCTAAATGGTCCTTACTAAAAAATATCCCTTGTACAATCTTGAAGTGTTAATTATATTTATACAAGGTGTCTAAAAGTTACTATGCAGCGAAAGAGGTTTAAGTAAAAGTTTTACATGTGAGATAAAAAATCTGGGGAGTGAGGTCCAGAGATCTAGCAGGTCAGATTCCACAAGGAGATTGTGATCTGTATGATTATGAAAATTTCTCGCTGCACAGTAACTTTTTGGAGATCCTGCACTTGGTTAACTCATAACCAAATCTTTATTAAATAACAACAGTTTTTAAATATAAAAATTTTTATTCCTAGACATCGCTTCGAGCATCAAGTTCTTTGCATGATTTGGCTTTAATAAGAATTGCTCAAAGTCCAATGCATTTTTTTGATACTGTATCAGTAGGAAAAATACTTAATATTTTTACACGTGATTTAGATGAAGGTAATTATAAAAAATTTTAACATTTTCAGAATTTTTAAATGCTTTATTATTTGAATATTTAATTATTATAAATTCCTTTTAAAAATATTTTAAAATATTTATTTTCAGTTGATACTCAATTGCCAACTTTGATTGAAACATTTTTGCAGCATTTGATGTTCATCATCTTCAGTTTAGTTGTAATAGCCTTTGTATTTCCATGGTTTTTAATACCTTTATTAGTAATTGCCATAGGATTTATTTTTTTGCAAAGGATATTTAGAGCAATAATGAGAGAACTAAAACATCAAGAAAATATATCGAGATCACCAATATATAGTCACATAACTGCAACAATAGAAGGCATTATATCAATCCAAGCATTTAAAAAACAAGATGAATTTACAGAAAGGTAATTTTTATTTACATTAATAATGTTACTAGCAAATAGTATTTTTGTTCATCATTCACTTTAGATTTAAACTATTTTGATAGAAATTAAATTTTTTAATTTTTTATGAAATTGATAGCAAAATGTATTAATATTAACATTTACATTTCTGCCCTTTTTTTTTTTTTGCTAAATACTATTATCATTGATTTCTGACTAAAATATATGCTTAAATGCAAAAAATTTTTGAAGGGGGAAAAAATCAAATCCTTTTTATATTCTTTACATTTAAGTGTACATTCAATGAAGCAATTAATTATTAATTGCTTCATTGAATGTACACTTAAATATTGATATAAATAACAGAAATTGCATATGGCTTTAATTGATTTAAGAAAGAATGTTATGATTTAGTAGATTATCTTCATCTTTGAAGATCTTAAGCCTCAATTTCTTGTAACTTTGATAAAATAAAATTTATTAAGAATTTTCTTAATATATTATTTTTCCAATATGATTTTTTTTATTTAGATTCTGAAAAGAGTGGTTGTGATATTAAAATTGAGAAAGGTTTATCTCAGAGCAATCCTTTGTCATCTTGTATTATTATATCAATGGCATTTCTGATTCCTTATTTTAATGATTATTTCAGAATTTATTTAAATGATGTCTGTTTACATTATCTGTTTTATGCTAATGATGTATTTTGTACAGAATATAGATCAGCTCTCCAATTTAAATGTAAATAACTTTTTAAACTATTATGATAAATTTTCTATCGATTAATATGAATAAAATTACGATAAGGATCTTTTGTCTTGATAATGATTTAAAATTAATAGATAAATTAATATTTTAAATAGAAAAATTTTTTATTGTAAAAATTTGGGAGTTATGTTTGTTTTTGACAATAAATTTATCATTAAAACTACTGTTTTATAAAAATTATCCAGGTAATTAGTCACAGAATTAAGAAAATTATGATTAGATTAAAATCATGTTATATTTAAACTATTTTTCTCATTTTGACAGTATTGTTAGGGTATTGATTGATCTGTCTGTGAGCTGAACTAATGTATTTCTTTAATTAAACTCTATTGGGTTTATTTTTAAAGCATATATATATATATATATATCCTGGGATTTATTTTATTTATTTACTTTTTTGAGCTGGAGTTCACTATGTTGTACCTTGCAAAATGATACAAGTGGGTAAAAAATAAACATTGAAAAAATTACTTTATCCTAAAATCTTACACATTTTTCATACATTAAGAGCATTGACTTTACACAGTTGTTTTGCTGTGTAAAAATGAATGCTGGAAATGTATGAAAAGTGTGTGTGTGTGATTTTAACTAAAATTCCAGCTTGTAGAAGATAATTGTATTTAATTATCTTAATTTATGGGTTATAGCTACAACAATTGAAATAATTAGTTTTCATAATTAACCTGATTAATTTTCAAATTTGGTTATTAAATTGTCATTTGTATCTGTTTCAATATTGTTGTTGGAATCAGGATCATGACCTATCATTATCTGGTTCAAACTCTCAATCTTGGCTGGATGGCCAAGACAATTAAGATGTCGGTTTATTACTCTGCAGGACCCAAGATTGAATCCAGGAGAGTATGTTAAGGAATGTTTCAGGTAATGATCTGTCCTGGATATGTTGGGCTTTGTTTCTCACCACCTAGCCAAGACTGTCATAGGTTTGATAAAACCACCTCTTATTGCCCACAGGACAAAAAGGAGTAAAGCTAAAAATTCTGAACCATATTACCCTTATATGAAAGACGAGACCAGACATGGAAACCTTAGGGACAGGGGGCCCCGATTAACTGTATACGAACTTTCGATGCAAACTGGAAGTCATATTATTTCAATTCAAAACTTCCCCAAAAGGTGTTAGATAAATGACCGGCATGACTCTATTGTTAAAGGAAAAGTATAGTGAAGTACTTCAACATGTTTCCCATGCTTTTCGACCCAGGGTTTATTTTTGACAGCACCTTCATTCACTGGGGTTTATTCAAAGATTGGGATTTATTTGAATTCTGGGAATAATTGAGAAAATACAGTATTTACATCTAATCAAAAAAGATTAAACTTTATTTAAATATTTAAAATTGAGTTTTTGGCTTCTGATTTTAAATTGCACAGAATTAGATTGCCTATGGACTGTTTGTGCTTAAATTTTGGTTTTGTTTGCTTAAAATTACCTGCACCTAGTTTACAGTATCAAAATTCATTACCTGAACTTGATAAGTAAAAGGATTGCAATTATAATTATCTGTGTAAAAATATTCACAAATTAGAAGAAACAATAAGTGTCTTCATATTCTTGTCCTTTTTCAACACCTCAGGAACACAAGTCTTTTATTTGAGGCTAATCTTCTTCTTTATGTAAAAATTTTAAAAAGTTTCAAGGATATCGCACAATCATAAAAATCTATTAATTAACAATATTTAATAAATACAGGGTGTCCACTATGAACCTGACACATTTGAAACTGTTGTAAAAAATCTACTGCTCAGGAAGGATGTAAAGTAATGCACATTTTATGATGAAAAACTCAAAAAGTTTTATTAAAAAAATCAGTGAACCTCTACATGAGCTCCTTTTGTTGCACATAGAACACCTAGTCTATACTCCATTTTCTGCCAGGTTCTTTCAAGCATATCGGGCATGACAGCAGCAACAGCATTGTGAATGCGCACACAAAGATGTTGAAGTTCACGAATTTTGACACTGGTGTAAATCTTGTCTTTGACAAATCTCCAAAAGAAAAAGTCTTAAGTCCAATCAACAATCGGGAAACTGTGCCCGGATTGCCACCTCCGTGTGATTTTAACACGGTTCCCTTCGTCAAGAAGTGTTGTTTCCATAACTTGAGTGTATTCCTCGAGGGACCTTGCCAAACATGTGATGAAAGTTCCATTCACTTGAATCACAGAATTTGTTTCAGCATACCATCACACAGCTTGCGCCTGCTCTTGTGGAGAATCCATTTTGCGCTTGACTACTGCCATGCCACCACCTACAGTCACTTTGGTGGGTTTTCAAAATTACCTATACAAACTTCCAGTTTCTCCACCTAATGGAATGTACAACATCTGATTATTGCCTTGCACTTCGATATGGCAGTCAAAACAAATGTACCAGGTTCATTGTGGACACCTTGTATAATGGCCATGTCCTTTCCAGGCTTCTTATGCTGTATCCTAAGATTAAATGTTTGTTGTTAATTTTCTGATGACTATCCAAACATTAACTATTCATTAGTGTTACTGCAATATTTAATTCTAGTAAAGATAAAATAGTTTTATTTCATTCTCATAGCATGTTAATGTAAGCTGTCATCCATCAGTGTTTCTATTTTTACTTTCCTGAAATTGTTTTGCCTGTCTACGTATGTGTTTGCAGTTTATGGCTTTTGTACATCACAATTCTTCTAAAATTGAAAAAAGCTGCTTATCACAAATACCTCCTATTAAACTTGAATTCAAGAAACTATAATTGGACTGCAATTTGAAAAAATTGTAGACCTATAAATTCCCACTGTTGCCTTTCCTTAATCTCAAGAACAGAGTTAGATAGATGAAAGACGAGACCAGACATGGAAACCTTAGGGACAGGAGGCCCCGATTAACTGTATACGAACTTTTGATGCAAACTGGAAGTCATGTTATTTCAATTCAAAACTTCCCTTGAAAGGTATTAAATAGATGACCGGCATGACTCTATTGTTAAAGGAAAAGTATGATGTACAGGGTTGCCCCTGTACATCATACTTTTCCTTTAACAATAAACTACTAATTTGAGGTGGATAGCATATATTTAAATTAAATGAATTAAAAATATTATTAAAAATTGCAGCCCGGCATTGTGGCTATGTTACAATAAATAATTGCCTGTTTTGTAAATTAATTCTGATGAATTAGAAAATGTTCGTTTATTAGAAATATTAGAACATATTTGTCAAAGCCAAGTGATTGCCAAATTATATTGGACTATATTACTACTACTATTATTAAGTAAATCCTAAGTAATTTGGCCCTTGAGGCAGGTATTAGATGCCATCTCTTGCTAAATTTAATAATTATAATTAAATTAATATTTAATAATTAATTTAGAAGGTTCCAGAAGAAAAAATCAGCTCAAAGTGGGACTCAAATCTGCAACTCCTGCCTACTGCATGGTCACATTGCCAGTTACACTACCCAGACTTTTTGTCCAATCCTTGCCTCCAGAATTTATTAATTTATAACAGTATTCAGTTACTTATGGCACTGGCTGGAGAAGACTCAGCACCTATGGCCTACAACCCTCACTATGGCACTTGGGTGGATATTGCTTCTATCTTGGCATGGTGTGTATATATATGTGAGTACTATATCATAGTGGGAGTTATAGGCCATAGGTGTTGAGTCATCTCCAGCTGGTGCTTGTAAGTAAATGAGTATGGTTATTAATTAAATGTTCCATTACTGGTTTTTTGTGAATTAAAAAAAAATTAAAGCTATTGGCTTTTTTTGGTAGCATATAACAAGGAACAGTTATTGATATAGTCTTTATTGATAGAGGAAATGCATTTTGGATCTTAATGACCCCTCTTCAGTCCTTATTATAGCTGACTATTGATTATAAATTGACATTAAAAAACATTGGGTAATTGATTGGATAGAATATGTTTAAAAGGGGTTGCTGTGGATGGGTAAAAAATTACTAGGTGAATAATATTTAAAAGAACCAACCAAAGGATGTAAAACAAATTTTTAAAGCCAAAGAAAATAAGTATTTAATATTACATAATGCAGACGTGGCCATAGAGTTCAGACCATCTTTAAGTTCACAGCTGCATTCTGCAAATGCAGCCATGAACTTAAGGATACTATATCCGAACTCTATATCTGCATAAGATCTGTGTCATATATTAAAGCCAATCATTTAGCTTTAATATATAACTATTGGGTTTGGATGTTTATATTTATGAACATAATATTTCATGACAAATAAATAATGTTGTATTTAATGATACTAATGATTAGTTATCTAAAAAGTAACTTTTTAATGTATGTAATTAATGTATTTAATGTTCTTATCTCTCTTCTACAAAAATAATACAACAAATAATAATAATAATACTAACAATTTAAGTTTTAAATTGGCAATAAATTGAAATAATTTAAATTTTTCTTGTAGGTTTATTCAATTGGTTGATGCAAATGCTTCTCCCCTCTATCTGTTCTATAGTTCAATGCGATGGTTTGCAATAAGAATGAATTTTCTTTGCGTTTTAATTATATTAATTGTTTGTTTATTTGGACTTTTTTTAAAAGAGGAAATAGCTGCAGCATTTATTGCACTTGCTATTTCACTTACTATTCAGGTATGTAAAATAATAATTAAATTATAATTTTTTAGTTATAATAATAATTTTTTAATGGAATTATTTTATTTTTTCTTTTGTTTTCTAGATGTGTAGTTTCTATCAATATATAACAAGATTAGGTTGTGATATTGAAGCTCGTTTTACATCTGTAAAACGAATTCAATCGTACATTGAACAGTTAGAATTAGAATCTCCTGCAATAGTAGATAATTCTCGTCCACCAGTTGATTGGCCAACAAGAGGACGCATAAGTTTTCGTGATGTCACAATGAGATACAGACCAGGTCTTCCTTTGGCATTAAAAGGTGTTACATTTGATATAGATTCACAAGATAAAATTGCAATTGTTGGAAGAACAGGTGCAGGTAAGTTAAACAATAACCATTTTATACCATTGCCATAAACTTTTTCAAAATACAATAAGCCCTACTTACTTGCTTGGACTAATAGTGGTAAACCTTGCTTGAGTTTACAAAAGCCTTGAGTTATCAGGGTGTTTTCTCAGATGACATGGAAAATGAGAAGGTGGATATACAGTGTAGTCATTTATTACAATCAGCTTTGTACAGAAGTTTTACTGAGCTTTATTAGGTTATACTGCTAAATTTATTATTACAGAAAATGAGCTCAAAACATTTCATAACTGTATATAGCCTTTAGTAAATTACTGACTATAGTAATATAGTGCACTGTACTACAAAGACTTCCAGATTTTGAAAACACTTGTTAACTATAATTTCACTATAATTATAATTTTTCTGGGGGGCACTTCCGACGTTCGTCAGTGTTGGTGAGTTTTTGAGAGAGCTGTTTTTGTTGAATTATAGCACTTTGGATATGCTTGCTTTTACAAAGTGTTTGATTCTTTATCTTGGTTTCATCAAAGAATTTGATATATATTTATTATTACGTGCTTTATTGGTAATTGGAGGTATTGAATCTAATCCTGGACCGATGTCTCGTACTCCACCTTCCTCCCCTATTTCAAAGTCGTCCATATCAGTTGTTGGAAAACGTCAAAGATCTCCTAGTGAACCGACTTTGAAATCTCAGCGATTGGAAAAGTTTTTTCCTCCTTCGGGTTCTTCTTCAAATGTACCCCAAAATTTATTTTCCTTTTTAGAGGAAAAATTTGATACCATTTTGACTAAACTTGAAGATTTATCTACTAAATTCGAATGGCTGGCAAATTTGCATAAAGATTTTGAACAACGTCTTCTCAATGTAGAGAAGAAGGTGGAGGAAATTTCTAATTTAAATACCTCATTTACTGCTTCGACCTCCTATTTCTTATATCTTTTAGATTCATCGATAAATGAACGTCAGAGAAATAATATTGTTATTGCTGGTTTAGAGGGAAACTCGTCTGAAATCTTGTCCTTGGCTTCTGACATTTTGTCATCTATTAAAAGACCTAGTGGTGACTCAATTTTGATAAAAGATCTTAAAATAATCTCAAAAAATAAATTGGTGGTGGCTAAACTTGACATTGTCTCCGATAAAAAACTAATTTACCGGAATGTTCATAATATTCAGAAGAGAGAAGGATGCTCTAGGGTAAAGTTTTTCGATGATTTATATTGGAGATCGAGACTTAGGAGGAAAGGTCTTTTTCCTTTCTATCAAGAGGCTAAGAAGACTGGAAAAGATGCGTATATGAGAGCTGATTGTCTAACAGTAAACGGAGAAAACTTTACGTTTGATTTAATAAGCAATAAGCTAATGAAAATTGAACCTTTTTTATTACCAGGGAAGACGTTGGATCGACGAATGGACGAGAATTAAAAATTTCAACTGTTACTCCTCATTCAGAGGTTTTTTATACGCTAAAGGTATTATCATGGAATAGTCAAGGTTCATTGTTTGATAACTTTTCTGACAAGAGTTTTGTTGATTTTGTATCATCATATCATATTGTTGGTATAACTGAATCATGGATGACATTTTCGGTGAAATCTTTTCTTTCATCATTGGACTCTCAATTCTATTTTACTGAAATGTTAGCTCATAAACTAGAGGGACCTGGAAGACCGTCTGGAGGCTTGTTTCTAATGGTTTCTCGGAAACTTGGTAAGTTGGAAATTTGTCATCTTTCTGATAACTTTATTGTGGCTAAACTCATATTTGATAAACCTATGTTTAAAAATCGTCCTGGGCTTTTAATTGTTCTGGTTTATATGTCTATTCATAAATATGATTCATTGATCGAGTATCTTGATAGATTGATTCTGGATTTTAAAGATGATGATGACATTCTGATCCTTGGTGATTCTAACGCTAGAATTGCTTCCGAAATAGATACATTGTATATAGGTTCTAATAGAAATTTTCATAATATTAGAAAATCTAACGATAAAATTTTTAACTGTAGAGGAAAAAGATTTTTGAACTTGGTCAAATCTTATGGAATGATTCTATTGAATGGTCGTTTTGTTACTGATTCTCCTGCTAATTTTACATTTATTTCCTCTTTGGGTGCATCAGTTATCGACTTGATAGCTATTAATCCTGAACTAGTTGATAACTTAGTGGACTTTAGAGTTTTAAATAAATTTGATTCTGACCATCTCCCTATTTCTGTTGAGCTCAGGTTTGACTCTCTTTTTCTTAGTAAAGAATTGCCTGCTGAGATACGTTGTTACGTGTGGAGATCTTCATGTTTGGATAAGTATTTGTACAATGTCACTAAGCGATATGCAGATATTAAGGGTGGATTTTTTCTGGATTCCTTTTCTTTTTATTCGTCCTTTGTTGACGTGATTCTTGAGTCTGTAACTCAAAGTAATATGTATGTTAAACATCATTGTTCAAGAAAATTTGTTAAGTCTTGGTTTGACATTGATTGCCTACGATTGAAGAGAGAGAAGAATCGTGCTTTACGAGCATTTAGGCGATCAAGAACTGAACAACACTTTATTATTTATTCTAACTTGGAAAAAACTTTTAAATCTATATGTAAAGCCAAAAAGAAACTATTTTGGAATAAGATTAACTTCCAATTATCACATATTAAAAACTCTGCAGAATTTTGGAAAATTGTTAATAAATTTAGACATGGTAAAGCTGTGTATAATAACATCTCTATTCGTGATTGGTCGGATTACTTGAGAAAATTTTTTTCTGGACCATCTTTAGTTGTACTGTCTATTTGTACTAATGTTAATATGGATCCATTGCTCGATGGAAATTTTACATTTGATGAATTACAATTTGTGGTACGATCTTTAAAAAATAATAAAGCCCCTGGACTAGATGCTGTTAAGGCTGAGATGGTTAAATTCCTCCCGACTAATATTCTAAACGATTTGTTATCTATGTTTAATAATTTTAAAACTAATTATTCTTTTCCCATTACTTGGAAAAATATTTGTTTAAAAATGATATATAAGAAGGGTAATCGGTTTGATCCTATGAATTATCGTCCGATATCGCTAATTAGTGTAATTAGAAAAATTTTTTCTACGTTATTGGCTAATCGTTTACGTCTTTGGCTTGAGCGGTATCACACTATTTCTATTGGTCAAGGTGCTTTTGTAGCGAATAGAGGTGTTGATTATAATTTGTTTATATTTCTTGGAATTTTGCAATTAAATTTGACTAAGAAGCGGAGGAAATTATATGTTGGATTTATTGATTTGTCAAAGGCGTTTGATGCAATAGATCATGATATTTTATGGTCGAAGCTTTCTCGAATAGGCATGTCATCATCTTTTATTAATCTTATAAGACAATTGTTTTCGAACACCATTTATCAAATAGAAGTTAATCATTGTCTTTCGGAGGCGGTAACTGCTAATAAAGGGCTTCCACAAGGTGAACCTCTTAGTCCTATTTTGTTTAATTTATTCGTTAATGATCTCTCGGAATTTTTTTGTAATCATAATACAATGGGTATATCCATATCACCAGAGGTAGAATTGAACTGTCTTTTGTTTGCTGACGATATTGTAATATTTTCGTATTCACCTATTGGTCTTCAGAAAAAACTTGATATTTTACAAGATTACTGTAAGTCTAATAAATTACTTATTAATGAGACTAAATCTAAAGTAATGGTTTTTCGGAGAGGGGGTAGACTGGGGAAAGCTGATAAATTTTATTTATTTAACTCTGAATTGGAGATAGTTTCGTCCTATAAGTATCTGGGTATTTATTTTACTCCACAGGGTTCTTTTTCTTTTCACTTAGATAAATTGTTTTTGAAATATAAACTACAGCTTTCTAATTTAATAAAACTTATGGTCAGAATGAAGCAGTCTTCTATTAAGTCGTATTATCGATTGTTTGACTCCTTGATACGTTCAAGTTTGGGGTATATGTTCCCTATTTGGGGACCATCTTTTGTTGATAAATTGGAGAAGACGCAATTGAGATTTATTAGATCGATATTTCATATTAATCGTTCGGTGCCTGGACCTGTCTTAAGATTTGAATTGGGTCGTCCACCAATGGCTATACGTTTAACAATGAGTATTTTTAGATACTGGAGTAAAATTTTGGAGTTACCAGATTGCGACCCTAGAAAGTTGATTTATAACAAATTGAAATTAATAGTCGGAAATTCTTCGTTTGTAACTTGGTCCTCCTCAGTTGAAAATTTATTGTCTGAATTAGGTTATTCTACTGACTATTATATTCAGGTCTCAAATAAAAACCTTTTTATGGCTGAAATATTTCAGTCATTAAAAGATAAATACTGGGCTCAAGACATTCAATATATTGAACAAAAGAGTAGGTTTTTTGAGACTTCCTCAATAGCTCCATGGACACCTCGATATTATTTATTATCAAATTTAAGTTATAATATTAAATCCTTGATAATTCAATTGCGACTTAATGACTATACTATTATATTAAATAGGCGTAGAATGAATATTTCCGCCCATTCTAACTGCCCTTTATGTAATCGACTCTGTGAAAATATTAAGAACCATTTATTTGTATCTTGTGAAATTACTGAACATTTAAGGGATACATTATTAACGACTAATTTTGATATGTTTTGTTTATACGATGATAATTTAAGCTCTGACATGTTATTTAAAGTTTATAAATTTTTCTGTTATTTATTAAACATGTTAACATAACATTATTAATTAAGTTTTAATTTTTTTGAAATTATGTATAATTATGTTTGTATTTGAAATTATGTATAATTATGTTTGTATCTGTTAATGTTGCATGATTTTGTAACCCCCTTTGTAAAGGCAAAAGCCGTAGCAAATAAATGTTGATTGATTGATTGATTGATTGATAATTTTTCTGTTGCCAAAAAATTAAAAATTAATGTACAATTTTTTGAAAAAAAAATTTGTTAGAGTTATGCAAAGTCCAAGTTATGAGGTTACTATATTGATAATTCAAATTATTATTATTAATTTTTTATTTATAAGGACACATTATAAGAGAAATATAATAATAAAAATTACATCTATAATAAAAATATATCTATATAATACAAGGATCATCCAGAAAGTAAAGATTGTTTAGCTTTAAAGAGTGAAGAAAACATTTTATTATTCAATTTTGTTTTTTAAACATACATTATATTACTCTATATCTCCACATAATCACTTTCTTTATTTAAACATTTATCATATTTGTGCATAAACTTTTAATTCTGTTGTACTCATCTACTGCCAGTCCATTTAACCAACTGGTGACTATGTAAGCTGCAATCTGTCATTGCCAAGCAAAGAGCAAGAAACATTTGGAAATAAAATGTGCAACTTGTCCAGAGTTATGCATATGTCTTCCAAAATTTTGTCATTACTTGCATGCTTCAAGTCGTCTGCGACAAGTGATGGGCACCTAGTAAATCTTCATTGTGCTTGTTTGTTCATCCATTGTTAAACATTTCACACCACTTTCTCACATTCCATTTTTTCATTACCAAATCATCATACACCTGCTTTAATTGCCAATAAATATCAGCAGATCTTGCTTTCTGAGCATCAAGAATTGAATAATAAGACTAACAGCACAAAACCTTCCTCACTAATTTCTAGCCTTATTAACTGGAGTACAAACGAAATTAGTGAGGAAGGTTTTGTGCTGTTAGTCTTAGAAATAGTTCTAGCTACATATGCATAGTAGTGAATTGAATAATACTGCATATTTAGTAATTTAAATATTAGTAAATGGATAAATACTTTAAAAAAATCATTATTATTATTAAAATCAAATATTTATTTTGAAAAATTTAAATTTGTTTTATTTCTTCCAAAATAGGCAAATCTTCTATAGGAGTTGCACTGTTTCGATTAGTAGAAGTTACATCTGGAACTATATTTATAGATGGTCTAGATATCAGTCAGTTTGGTCTAGAAGATCTGCGTCCTAGAATATCTATCATTCCTCAAGATCCTATACTATTCAGAGGAACAGTAAGGTAATAATATAAATTTATGAATAATTATTTAGTTGGAATACAGTAATAATTAGAAATGATTTGTAATTGAAATGTTTTTGTTACTAGAAGAAATTGTATGTTAGGATGTCTTTTAAAAAACTCTTTAATTTTATAATTTATTAAATCATTTAAAAGTTTAAGCATAAAATATATTTTGTTTGATTATTTAAACAAATTGTTCAAAATATTTCTAATTAATTTTGTGAGGTCCTGAACACAGTCCAAAGCCTTGCTGAAAATCACTCCAATACAAAGAATCTGAAATGAAAATTTTTTTTTTATATGAAGTATTTGCCATTGGAATTTAAGTGACTGATACCTCAAAATTTCAATGGCAAATACTTCATATAAAACTTTTTTGTTTTGGGGTGAAGTTCAGATCATGTCCGGGACATCACAATTTAATAATTAGGTAATACATGTTAAAAAAAAAAATTGTTTCAAAATTATAATTGACTTTTATTATGGATTAATATAGTATTTCTAGATGATCATTACAAGAAAAATATTGTTGAATGAGCAATTTTTATAAATTTATAAATATTAAAAACTAGCAGGTAAGCCCAGGCAAAAAATAAGAACAAACATTAAGATTAGGTAATTTCATACTTCTAACCCTTCTATTGTATTATATTATAGAATTAGGCTTATATAACTGCAAAGGTTACCTTGCATAGCCAATCTTACCTGTTTTCACTGGGTGCAAGTGAAAACAGGTAAGATTGGAACCTTAGGCCTCCCTCTACCGAGGTTAATTAGAGAATTTTTAGATGGGTCTAAACATATGTTCGATTTCTCACAAAAATGCATCTAAAATAGTACACTAGAAGCAGAATTCTTCAGGGTAATCCTTAACCCTCTCCCACTCCAGATATTAAGTTAATGATCCTGTCCTTTAATATAATCACTGGCATATTGAATTATTCCAAATCTATGGGATATGGCAGATGCTGTCAGCAGATCCTTTTTTATTTACAGATATGATGGACCACTCTATGGCCTGAAATACCTCAACCATATTAGGATGCTGTCCTTATAGTGATAACATTATTTTAGGAAACAAGTTATAGATGCAAGAATTCATGTTGGGAGAAAGATGGATATTCCTTGGTTTTCCAATTTCTCTTAGCCAAAAGTTTTTTTACAGGTGAAGCTCAAGGGCATACTCAGCAAGGGACAGTTGCCCCTCCCCTAGAAGAAAAATTAAAGTAAAATAATTGACACACAGCACAGACATATCAATTTAGTATCAGTTTGAATAATGAATATTGTGACTAGACTAGGACCATCTGTCTTGAAATCTCAACTCTCCCTCCCCACTTCCTCAAAATTAATATGAGTTGCCCCCCTTTAGTTCAGATCATGGGTATGCTGCTGGTGAAGCTAGATGACATTGAACATTATCATGAATGAGAAGTGGTGGATTATCTCTGATTAAATGTGGTCACTTGCTTTTTAGTGCCGTGTGCAGATTTTCAAGTTTGTTTGAAATAAGAGTGCTACATAAGGGTGATCTGCCAAGGTGGTGCTTCCTGGAGACTCTTTAGGGAAAATGGTGCTCTTAGATGTTAGACATGAAAGAAAACAGAAAATTCCATTGTCATTATTTATCATACTTATTTGTATGTATTATATCTTATGAGATTATTAGTACNTCTCTTGCTAAATTTAATAATTATAATTAAATTAATATTTAATAATTAATTTAGAAGGTTCCAGAAGAAAAAATCAGCTCAAAGTGGGACTCAAATCTGCAACTCCTGCCTACTGCATGGTCACATTGCCAGTTACACTACCCAGACTTTTTGTCCAATCCTTGCCTCCAGAATTTATTAATTTATAACAGTATTCAGTTACTTATGGCACTGGCTGGAGAAGACTCAGCACCTATGGCCTACAACCCTCACTATGGCACTTGGGTGGATATTGCTTCTATCTTGGCATGGTGTGTATATATATGTGAGTACTATATCATAGTGGGAGTTATAGGCCATAGGTGTTGAGTCATCTCCAGCTGGTGCTTGTAAGTAAATGAGTATGGTTATTAATTAAATGTTCCATTACTGGTTTTTTGTGAATTAAAAAAAAATTAAAGCTATTGGCTTTTTTTGGTAGCATATAACAAGGAACAGTTATTGATATAGTCTTTATTGATAGAGGAAATGCATTTTGGATCTTAATGACCCCTCTTCAGTCCTTATTATAGCTGACTATTGATTATAAATTGACATTAAAAAACATTGGGTAATTGATTGGATAGAATATGTTTAAAAGGGGTTGCTGTGGATGGGTAAAAAATTACTAGGTGAATAATATTTAAAAGAACCAACCAAAGGATGTAAAACAAATTTTTAAAGCCAAAGAAAATAAGTATTTAATATTACATAATGCAGACGTGGCCATAGAGTTCAGACCATCTTTAAGTTCACAGCTGCATTCTGCAAATGCAGCCATGAACTTAAGGATACTATATCCGAACTCTATATCTGCATAAGATCTGTGTCATATATTAAAGCCAATCATTTAGCTTTAATATATAACTATTGGGTTTGGATGTTTATATTTATGAACATAATATTTCATGACAAATAAATAATGTTGTATTTAATGATACTAATGATTAGTTATCTAAAAAGTAACTTTTTAATGTATGTAATTAATGTATTTAATGTTCTTATCTCTCTTCTACAAAAATAATACAACAAATAATAATAATAATACTAACAATTTAAGTTTTAAATTGGCAATAAATTGAAATAATTTAAATTTTTCTTGTAGGTTTATTCAGTTGGTTGATGCAAATGCTTCTCCCCTCTATCTGTTCTATAGTTCAATGCGATGGTTTGCAATAAGAATGAATTTTCTTTGCGTTTTAATTATATTAATTGTTTGTTTATTTGGACTTTTTTTAAAAGAGGAAATAGCTGCAGCATTTATTGCACTTGCTATTTCACTTACTATTCAGGTATGTAAAATAATAATTAAATTATAATTTTTTAGTTATAATAATAATTTTTTAATGGAATTATTTTATTTTTTCTTTTGTTTTCTAGATGTGTAGTTTCTATCAATATATAACAAGATTAGGTTGTGATATTGAAGCTCGTTTTACATCTGTAAAACGAATTCAATCGTACATTGAACAGTTAGAATTAGAATCTCCTGCAATAGTAGATAATTCTCGTCCACCAGTTGATTGGCCAACAAGAGGACGCATAAGTTTTCGTGATGTCACAATGAGATACAGACCAGGTCTTCCTTTGGCATTAAAAGGTGTTACATTTGATATAGATTCACAAGATAAAATTGCAATTGTTGGAAGAACAGGTGCAGGTAAGTTAAACAATAACCATTTTATACCATTGCCATAAACTTTTTCAAAATACAATAAGCCCTACTTACTTGCTTGGACTAATAGTGGTAAACCTTGCTTGAGTTTACAAAAGCCTTGAGTTATCAGGGTGTTTTCTCAGATGACATGGAAAATGAGAAGGTGGATATACAGTGTAGTCATTTATTACAATCAGCTTTGTACAGAAGTTTTACTGAGCTTTATTAGGTTATACTGCTAAATTTATTATTACAGAAAATGAGCTCAAAACATTTCATAACTGTATATAGCCTTTAGTAAATTACTGACTATAGTAATATAGTGCACTGTACTACAAAGACTTCCAGATTTTGAAAACACTTGTTAACTATAATTTCACTATAATTATAATTTTTCTGGGGGGCACTTCCGACGTTCGTCAGTGTTGGTGAGTTTTTGAGAGAGCTGTTTTTGTTGAATTATAGCACTTTGGATATGCTTGCTTTTACAAAGTGTTTGATTCTTTATCTTGGTTTCATCAAAGAATTTGATATATATTTATTATTACGTGCTTTATTGGTAATTGGAGGTATTGAATCTAATCCTGGACCGATGTCTCGTACTCCACCTTCCTCCCCTATTTCAAAGTCGTCCATATCAGTTGTTGGAAAACGTCAAAGATCTCCTAGTGAACCGACTTTGAAATCTCAGCGATTGGAAAATTTTTTTCCTCCTTTGGGTTCTTCAAATGTACCCCAAAATTTATTTTCCTTTTTAGAGGAAAAATTTGATACCATTTTGACTAAACTTGAAGATTTATCTACTAAATTCGAATGGCTGGCAAATTTGCATAAAGATTTTGAACAACGTCTTCTCAATGTAGAGAAGAAGGTGGAGGAAATTTCTAATTTAAATACCTCATTTACTGCTTCGACCTCCTATTTCTTATATCTTTTAGATTCATCGATAAATGAATGTCAGAGAAATAATATTGTTATTGCTGGTTTAGAGGGAAACTCGTCTGAAATCTTGTCCTTGGCTTCTGATATTTTGTCATCTATTAAAAGACCTAGTGGTGACTCAATTTTGATAAAAGATCTTAAAATAATCTCAAAAAATAAATTGGTGGTGGCTAAACTTGATATTGTCTCCGATAAAAAACTCATTTACCGGAATGTTCATAATATTCAGAAGAGGGAAGGATGCTCTAGGGTAAAGTTTTTCGATGATTTATATTGGAGATCAAGACTTAGGAGGAAAAGTCTTTTTTCTTTCTATCAAGAGGCTAAGAAGACTGGAAAAGATGCGTATATGAGAGCTGATTGTCTAACAGTAAACGGAGAAAACTTTACGTTTGATTTAATAAGCAATAAGCTAATGAAAATTGAACCTTTTTTATTACCAGGGAAGACGGATCGACGAATGGACGAGAATTAAAAATTTCAACTGTTACTCCTCATTCAGAGGTTTCTTATACGCTAAAGGTATTGTCATGGAATAGTCAAGGTTCATTGTTTGATAACTTTTCTGACAAGAGTTTTGTTGATTTTGTATTATCATATCATATTGTTGGTATAACTGAATCATGGAACTGAATCATGGATAACATTTTCGGTGAAATCTTTTCTTTCATCATTGGACTCTCAATTCTATTTTACTGAAATGTTAGCTCATAAACTAGAGGGACCTGGAAGACCGTCTGGAGGCTTGTTTCTAATGGTTTCTCGGAAACTTGGTAAGTTGGAAATTTGTCATCTTTCTGATAACTTTATTGTGGCTAAACTCATATTTGATAAAACTATGTTTAAAAATCGTCCTGGGCTTTTAATTGTTCTGGTTTATATGTCTATTCATAAATATGATTCATTGATCGAGTATCTTGATAGATTGATTCTGGATTTTAAAGATAATGATGACATTCTGATCCTTGGTGATTCTAACGCTAGAATTGCTTCCGAAATAGATACATTGTATATAGGTTCTAATAGAAATTTTCATAATATTAGAAAATCTAACGATAAAATTTTTAACTGTAGAGGAAAAAAATTTTTGAACTTGGTCAAATCTTATGGAATGATTCTATTGAATGGTCGTTTTGTTACTGATTCTCCTGCTAATTTTACATATATTTCCTCTTTGGGTGCATCAGTTATCGACTTGATAGCTATTAATCCTGAACTAGTTGATAACTTAGTGGACTTTAGAGTTTTAANGTCCTGAACACAGTCCAAAGCCTTGCTGAAAATCACTCCAATACAAAGAATCTGAAATGAAAATTTTTTTTTTATATGAAGTATTTGCCATTGGAATTTAAGTGACTGATACCTCAAAATTTCAATGGCAAATACTTCATATAAAACTTTTTTGTTTTGGGGTGAAGTTCAGATCATGTCCGGGACATCACAATTTAATAATTAGGTAATACATGTTAAAAAAAAAAATTGTTTCAAAATTATAATTGACTTTTATTATGGATTAATATAGTATTTCTAGATGATCATTACAAGAAAAATATTGTTGAATGAGCAATTTTTATAAATTTATAAATATTAAAAACTAGCAGGTAAGCCCAGGCAAAAAATAAGAACAAACATTAAGATTAGGTAATTTCATACTTCTAACCCTTCTATTGTATTATATTATAGAATTAGGCTTATATAACTGCAAAGGTTACCTTGCATAGCCAATCTTACCTGTTTTCACTGGGTGCAAGTGAAAACAGGTAAGATTGGAACCTTAGGCCTCCCTCTACCGAGGTTAATTAGAGAATTTTTAGATGGGTCTAAACATATGTTCGATTTCTCACAAAAATGCATCTAAAATAGTACACTAGAAGCAGAATTCTTCAGGGTAATCCTTAACCCTCTCCCACTCCAGATATTAAGTTAATGATCCTGTCCTTTAATATAATCACTGGCATATTGAATTATTCCAAATCTATGGGATATGGCAGATGCTGTCAGCAGATCCTTTTTTATTTACAGATATGATGGACCACTCTATGGCCTGAAATACCTCAACCATATTAGGATGCTGTCCTTATAGTGATAACATTATTTTAGGAAACAAGTTATAGATGCAAGAATTCATGTTGGGAGAAAGATGGATATTCCTTGGTTTTCCAATTTCTCTTAGCCAAAAGTTTTTTTACAGGTGAAGCTCAAGGGCATACTCAGCAAGGGACAGTTGCCCCTCCCCTAGAAGAAAAATTAAAGTAAAATAATTGACACACAGCACAGACATATCAATTTAGTATCAGTTTGAATAATGAATATTGTGACTAGACTAGGACCATCTGTCTTGAAATCTCAACTCTCCCTCCCCACTTCCTCAAAATTAATATGAGTTGCCCCCCTTTAGTTCAGATCATGGGTATGCTGCTGGTGAAGCTAGATGACATTGAACATTATCATGAATGAGAAGTGGTGGATTATCTCTGATTAAATGTGGTCACTTGCTTTTTAGTGCCGTGTGCAGATTTTCAAGTTTGTTTGAAATAAGAGTGCTACATAAGGGTGATCTGCCAAGGTGGTGCTTCCTGGAGACTCTTTAGGGAAAATGGTGCTCTTAGATGTTAGACATGAAAGAAAACAGAAAATTCCATTGTCATTATTTATCATACTTATTTGTATGTATTATATCTTATGAGATTATTAGTACTATATTATTAATTATTGTTATATTATTTTAGATATAACCTTGATCCAATTAATCAGCATATGGATATGGAGTTATGGGATGTCCTTGAACAAACACACATCAAAGATAAAGTAAGTAATTACAATTTTATACATATATTTTAAAAAATTATGTATAATTAAAAATAAATATTTAATTGCCTAAAAATTTATGTTTTTTTTTTATTTAAAAGTTAATTTTTTTAATCTCAATTAAGTACACATTTTTAATAAGCTAATTAACAGAACAGTGGTTCCTATCTTTTCAAAGTCATGGTACATTTTATAAAAGTTTTGGTGGAACAGTTAAAGGAAAAATGTGATAACACAGCTTTAATTTTATATATAAATCTTAAAACTTACTAACGGAAAATATATTAACTACTACAAATATTTTAATTTACAAGCTATAGCTTAACAAAACTCAATATAAGGTAAAAAAAAAAAATGTTAAAAGATGAACAATACATTATAAGATCTATAATAAAATACATTCCTAACATAAATAGTACCCAATAATAATAATAATTCTATGAAAATTATTTCCAAAATAATCTTAATTTTGATGAAATTAATGCGATATTTGTACTTGCTGTTTTTTATTAAGTCTTAATGTAAGAGGAAAAGAGTGATTTGCATCAAGATTTTCGGTACATAAAACAGGAAAACTGTTTTCTGGCATTGTTTAAACATTTGAACAATAAATAAACAACATAATATAACTAATAAATTGTAATTACTTTTAAGAAAATCACTTGACTCATCAGGCAAAAGTTGGAACATAAAACCAAGTATTCTGAAATATTGCAATTTAAAATTTTAGTAGATTTTTACTTATTTATAATCTTAATAAATACACTTGCTTATTTGAATGAATAGGAGGGAAAAACAAATGCAGATGAAAAGTAATTATCAACTCATATGAAAGTAAACTTCCTCATATATTTTTATAAATATGAACATAAGTAAGACCATCTTACATAGGGGGAAAAAATATATTGTGTTGTATTTAAAACATTTAAGTTTTAATTTTATGTAAGTAAGGTCATAGGGAAGCCAATAAAATGAATTCAGAATTATTAAAATTGTCATATCATTTGCCTATCTTAAATTTAAATGTTTACATACCATAACAGAAGCAGTTACATTTGTGGCCGCCAGCGCCAGAGATCCTGAACACTGTCTGGCAACACTTGCCAAGATCACGAGAACTGTCTGGCAACACTTGCCAACAAGAGTGGCTGGCAACGTGAAAAAAGAAAAGGCACGAAAGTTCGTTGGATTTTGTCCGGGTGTTGCCCGAGGATGTCTGTGACAGTTCTAACCTTTTCTAATAAAGTTCTTTTTTGTTACTGTTCGTGTTTGCCTGCTTAATGTTAGATCTAAACATCAGTAGGTTTGAATGACAAACATTCATAAACATTTAGCGATTTATTATTTTATGGTTGTTTGCCTTATAGTTTCTAATCGTTTTAATATTTGTTTCCAGATTAAACTAATTTATTTACCATATTTACTCACATATAAGATGATCTTGCATATAGATGAGGTGTGACTTTAAAGATCAAAATAAAGAAAATTAGATTAAATGAAATAAAATTAGAATTTTATTAGTAAATCACAAGTAAAATAGCAAATGAACATAAAATGCACACATTGTCCCGCAAAAATTACTGGCATTTTAAACTTTAAGGAAAAATCTTGTAAAATCGACAACATAATTAATTTGTTCATGTAAAGCTTGAACAATCTGGAACCTTTTTTTTTGCCAATTCTTAACAGTCAAATCCATTCTCCGTCAATTGCACTTATGAGTTTCTCTGAATTCTGATTTCTGAATAATCATCTGTTTTCACATGGGAATGGATTAAAACTTATATCATTCTTCTATGTGATTTTAGAATTTCAATCTGGAATTCAATTCAAAATCTTTGCTTTTCCTATTGCTATTCATCTTTACTCCTGACAATATACAAGAACAATTCAAACGACCCAGATAATACACTTATGTTTTTAAATACAAGAGGGTGAGCAGCCAGTAAAAAATGCGAATACATGGTTCACAAAAATTGCAAAGAATCTTTTACTCACATGTATAGGATGTCCTAGGAATTTGAATCTGTGATAAATGAATAAAAACCTTATCTTATATGCGAGTAAATATGGTATTTTTTTTTTTGTTAATAAAATATCTTAAAACTTTTTTGTAGGTTATGACCATGGATGGAGGATTAGATGCTTGCTTAATGGAAGGAGGAAGAAACTTTTCTGTGGGAGAAAGACAACTCTTGTGTATGGCCAGAGCTTTGTTACAACATAATAAAGTAAGTTGCTCAATTATATTTATTCTGTTTTAATTTGAATTTGATTTATTATGTTTAAAAAAATATCTGACAAACTTATGTTACGATTGACTGAGTCACTCTTAAACTGTCATAATGTGTACTTAATTATCATATTTTCTTGCTAATTGGTTTTATTTCTAACCAATTGATGGAATAAGTTTAAGCTATAAAATTCATTAGAAAAAGTTATTAATTTAGTTAGTTTTTAGGCTGATATACAACGTAGTCACTTTATTAGATACATTCTATTGGGTGGATCAATCCTTTTGTCTGCACAGAAGTCTGAATTTGGCAAGATGTCAGAAATGTTTTACAAGAATCTTGATCCATGCTAATGGGATGGCATCATACAGTTGCTACAAAATGGATATTGGTACACATGTTATGTTCTATCTAATCCTATAGATGCTCAGCTTAATTAGGGTGATATAAATCTGGGTAGACGATGGGAGCAAGCAGAATTCTGCATCATATTTGCAAACCATTCCAAGATAATATGTTTATTTTGACATGGCATGTCATGTTGTTCTACCAGAAGCACACTAGTGTTGGGAGAGAAATGCAGTCATTTAACCACTCTGCAGTGATCGATGGATATACCCGTCAAGGGCGATCATGTGGCACTGGATAACAATGTCTATATCCGCAAAAAAATTTTGTGGATATCACCAAAAACTACTGCAAAAAAAAATTCACATAAAAATGGAATTGTGACAATAAAGAAAGTTGTTTTCTTTACTAGACATATCTGTTTAAAAAAATTTTTTTCTGAAATGGAAGCGAGAAAAACACATGGAAAAATTCTTAAAAAATTTCCCACATTTATTCTCCACTACATCGTGATAGTGCCATATCTGATTAATCCTCTACAAAGGTTAAAGAAGATCCAACAAAAATATTACAGCATTCAAATGCTCTCCTGTTGTGAAGTAACTTGAAATTTGTCAGTGTAATAATATGGAGAATATCTTTCTATTATCATCATCATTCTTCATTGTCCACACAGTAGGAGTTCCTGAACTTAGTCAGAATTTGACAAATTGTACAGAATATCTTCAACACAAGAGCAACCAGGAGTTGTCAAACCAGGTGATTTTTTCTTCCCCTTCATTCCTTAAAAATACCCTGTATGGACATCTGTTAATGTTTATCTCAGATAAGTTAGTGACAAATTATGCATTTGGAGATATGGTTCTGCATGGCATTATTATTTGTATGATGAAGGCACTCTTGTTTCCTTGCAGACCATACCATGTTCCTCCTGTCTCTCTCTTCAACGGACTATTTATTTTTACCCACTCTGTTGTTATATAATGAATAGTAACTGAACTGCTGAATTGAAAGGTCCCGAAATTTATTTTCCAGCAAATGTATGAACTCCATTCATATAATTAATATCATCTTCCACTCAAAATATTTTTTGTTTGAAAGTAATTTTTCTAATATTAAAATATATAATTTAAAATTTAAGTTAAGATTTTTTAAAAATTTCAATTTTAACAGAGAGATTATATCTTAGATATTTACACATTGCTTTTACCCAATAAAGTTTTTATTTTGTTTTTAAATTTAAAATGTTGATGGTCTCAAATTTTTAGATAGTGTTACTGGATGAAGCTACTGCCAGTATCGATCCAGAACTGGATTCATTAATTCAGGATACAATTCATGAAGTGTTTAATGACTGTACAGTACTTACGATTGCACACAGGAAATCCACTGTAATGAGATACAATCGCATTCTGGTCCTGTCTGATGGAAAGGTGAGACAATCTATCAGTTACAAATTTTGATTAAAAACCTGACCTGTTAAAATTTTTTTTTCCTATTTCCAGGTTGTGGAATTTGATAAAACGTCCATCCTGGCTTCGAATCCAAATTCGTTTTTCTCTCAGCTCATGACTGATACGACGCTAGTAACAGAGCTTTAATTTATGGAAAGTCAAGAGGCCGGGATTCATTTTTAATACTTTCTTTGCTCATTATATATTAAAAATGATTAAAATAGCTTGTAATACTCAATAGTCAGAGAATGTCAAAACTTTTACGGACTGTGTGACATTTAATGTCATTGAGTATTCTCAAGATCAAAACTTTATTTTCGTAACAACTAAGACTGTGAAGTAGTTTTAATAAAAATAAATTTTAAAACAATTTTACAAAAAATTATATAAATATTTATAATATCTAACATATTAATTTACAGAATTTTAATTTTGCTATGGAATTTTTTGTGATCAGAACTATTTTGTATGACAAAATAGTTATCAATTCTGATCATATGACACACAATTGGAGGAAAATCAATTTGTACGACACACAATTTTTTCAATTCTAATTTGTTAAACAAATAAACAAAACTAATAATCAGAAATCTAAAACTACAGTAATGCATATTTTATAGAAATGTTACATCAAATGTAATAATAATTCACTAACTCCCACTCCATTTTTTTGAAAAGAAATTTCAAAATGATCTTATATTCAAAAACTTAATTCTTTTAACTTACAAGACAATTAAGTAAGGAAAAAGATTTGTATTATTGATTTTAATAGTACAACAGTTTCATTTCTGTCAACACTGGAATATAGGAAAAAAACCATAGTAGTACAGAAAATGACAAACTCTCTAAAATGAGCCAGAGTATATGAAAATTAAATGTGTTTCAGTATTATTCAGGTAAATGGTAACTCAAAATGTTTGGTGTCAAGCAAAAATTTTTAAATGTCATATTAGCCCATTTTATTAAACAGATTCAAATACAGAAATCCATTTCTAACGTGCTAACAATGTAATTATATCTAATATTCTGTTATAATAAACCTCGATCACTTGAAATGAAAAACTTTGAAAGGATCAACAAAATAAATAAGTACTTGTCATTTCTAAAGTCTTGGTTACTTGTGCCTTAAAAGTTAATTTGATCAAATATTTGTGAATTGGAAATACAAATGCATTTATAGTTTTGTGTAAAATATCCCAATTAAAAAAAATAATCTTTTATAATTATTATGATATTTATTCAATATAATCCAATATAATTGTCAAATAATACATACATGCATACCCTCTTAGTGTTCACAGGGTAGAGCATGTCAAAGAATATTCATACCGATGTTCTCTCAAAGTGCTAATATCAATAGAAGTTGCAGCATTGCTTTATTTTACGGTAACTGCACACCGACTGTTATTAGCTCTTGTCAATTAAAAGTCTAATAAAGAAATTTTGTAATTTTATAACAAAATTCCAAAACATAGAGAGTGAAACGATATAAAAAATTTTGATAAGTTCTCTTTTTGAACGGCAGTAGAAATTTTTACTTCACGTATTTCTCCATAAATTTTTTATGAAATTCCGAACGTAGCGTGTCGTTGATAAATGGTTTGTCTTTGCGATCTGGTTCTTCTCTGGCACAGTTCTTAAACACCACATCGTCGTCCCATCGTTTTTTTACTTTGAACTCCGAGGGTTTACTGTTTAAGAGCGGATTTCCGCTGAGAATGGTTTCTGTACGTATTCTTTCTTCTTGAAGTTTTCTTTCTGCTTCCTGTTAAAAAATTAATAGAAATTAAAAGACTTGCATAAATCTATATAATAACTTGATCAAGTGCACACATCTATCATTACAATAAAACTTCAGTGCCATTTAATTTCATTTTTGTATAACTGACATATTTAAATGGTTATAGAATACATTGTCGTTCTAATTATACTTGTAGTTATAACAAGACTGTGTTCATGCTTCATTCAGCTTTAGTTGAAAATATATAAAAAAAAGTGTTTCAATTCTCATATGTATCATTTTTGCAATACAATGTTATGATAAAACTAAAAATACATTTTCCAAAATTTGGAAAATGTACTTTTAGTTTTCCTTTATTAAAAATCCAAAAGTTCTCATATCTCCTAAAATGTGCATCCATTTCAACTGGAGAATGTTCAAGGTTTACTATATGAAACTATTCTTAGTTTCATAAATAGTTGATATCAACAGTTGTCTTTTGTTGGAAAGCAGGCAGTATATTTAGGAATAATATTTTGTATGGGAAAACAGTTTTGTATTTTTAATATTGTATCTCTGTTTGTACTAAATTTTTCTAATCATTCACAGAAAAAATTTTAAATTATGAAAATTAATCCTTCTAAAATTTTTTACAGTTGAAGTTTGCCAGCTGATTGAAAAAAATAATTTCAATTTCTAAACATTAAATAGATGAGAATCCAAGAAAATTAGTTAGAAATGGTTTAATTTGTTGATAATGGAATTTGTTAGCATTGGACTCTTTATATTTGTACAAGTCTTTTAGCCCCTCCTACAGAAAATTAATGAATAGAAATAAGTGATAATTTAACATTAAGAGAAGATAACTATGCTTAATAATTTGCATTTTTAGTGATTTTCAGAAAATGGGAAAAAATGAAAGGAACAGGCATTTAGGGCAATGTTCTATGTTTAAAATAGAATGTACAATGCAATTAAGAGGAATCTTATAAGGTTTAAGTTGTTTTTCCCATTAAAAAATGAATATCATAAATAATAGACTGAATACATATACAGGGTTCCTACTCAAATTTTTCTTTGAAATTCCCCGACTCTCAAATCAACAAAATAAAACAGCATTTAACTTTGACTTTTATGTGCATGGTAGCCTAAGAAGCAATAGTATATTTTTTTGTAATTAAGTTACATAATTTTTATAATTGCTGAATTAAAATTAAAAATAAAACATTTTATGTTATTAATCCACAACCATAAATCTACATGGCTTTGAAAAAAACCCATTATACAGAATTTGTTAATGAATAATATGTGAGANTGTAATTAAGTTACATAATTTTTATAATTGCTGAATTAAAATTAAAAATAAAACATTTTATGTTATTAATCCACAACCATAAATCTACATGGCTTTGAAAAAAACCCATTATACAGAATTTGTTAATGAATAATATGTGAGAATCTGGAGACATAGAATAAGAGTCTATTCTTAGATTGGGAAGATTAATTGTAAGTCATTAATTATTTAATGACTTACAATATTTATTTAGAGAAACAAAACATAAAATTTTACATTTACTTTTTAAATTGGTAGAAAAAGGGAAATAAAACTTCCTTTCATCTTGTCAATTTCCCGTGGCGAGATCTTATGTTGATGATACATCTGCTAGTTTGAGTCACCCCTAAAATCCTGTCACAAGTGTAACAAATTAACACCCAATTGGAGGAGATTTAGGTATAAAAAGGGTAATTATCCCATTTTCAAGGCTCTCTCCTCAAAGTTCTCTTCATGTAGTCTGCCATCATCAACTCTCCTCCCATCTCTCCACTGAGCCAACCGATCAGTGAAGTTTCTCATTCTTCATCCTGACAATAGAATTTAGCCTGCACCCAAAGACATCCGCCTGTTATCAAGAGGTATTATGCACTTCCTGTAAACTCTCTCTCTGTCAAATAGAGGTATAATTAGCTAGTTGATCACAACATTAAAAATAGATATGAAAATTTATTTCTCATTAAAGTTTTGTTAAAGTGGAGGTTAAGATAATCTGGTTTCAATTTGGATTTACTTTGATGTCGATCACTCTATCAATGGATTCACAACTCTCCGACTCAAACTTATATCTACGAGTTAGGACGTGAATTCTAACTATCCTAACTGGTGTCAGGAGCCTGACATCAAAGGGATCTTACAATCTTGGAAACAAAATAATTTAGAATTTTATAGTCATCGACTGACGAAATGAGTAGCCTAACCGTCCTGACTTCGCAACAGAGGATTAGAGTTAATCAACTCTAACCTGTGGATTCTTACAAATATATACTTTTTGTGCATGAGATAAATTTAATAAAATGTTCAGAAAATTTATTAATAAGCTGAAAAAAAAAATCAAATTGTTATGCAGACAAAATTATTATAATGAAAAAAAATAAATGATGAATACCATTTCAATTAAAATTAACATTTTTACAGATAGTAAGATCTCTCGTGGAGAATTCATTATTCCACCGTGCCAGGTGTTTCGAGAGGACTACCTGGAAAGCAAAAAAAAAAAAAATCCATTTCATCACAAGTGCTTAACCTAAACCAAAGACCATCTGGAATCAGAAAAAGTGTTGATAGGTATTTGTAAAGGAAATAAAACTGCAGACATGTAATATTTGTTCAAAGTCAGCCTGCAAAACCTGCTTGGGCAAAAAATTACAAATTACTACATGTATGAAATGTGCACAAAAATAACATCAAAATTAAAACATTATAACTACTGTAATCAATAAAAGTTCAAAGTAGAATAAAAATAACTAAAGCCATATGAAAGAAATAAGTTAAAATGATGATTATTATTCACTAGCTTCACTAAACAAATCAATTAAAGTGATGAGTATTGAGTAAAAGCATTTGAAAGCACTTCTAGATGTAAAACCTATAAATAATATGAGCAGATCAAAATGACCCCATTTAGTAATTTTAAGTAGGCACAAAACTTCAAGTTCATAACCAGTTCTTTAACATCACAATTATGGTCTTTACATATAGTAACTAAAAAAATTGATGAATATCTCTTGTGAATTCTCTAAATTTCTATTATACACACCCCACACATTAAGTCAACATTTCACTGTAATAGTTTTAGACTGTTGATAATAAGAATATTATCTTTATTTAAATTGTAAAAGAAAAACTTAAAAGCACATACTTCTTTTGAAAAACTGGTAGTAGTACAGAATACCCTAATGGCATGCATTAACCTAGAGTTTCTCAAACTTAACCTTCTGGTAGTCCTGTTTAATAAATTTTAACGTGCCATTTGCATACTTTGCTGTCAACATATTTGTGTTGACAGCAAACTACGAAGAAGAAATTTGGATAGTAGAAATCTATCCAAATTATCCCAATTATAAACATGAAAATTTATACTATTCAGCACTATGCACTGTGCAAAAATTTTCAGTGATGTCAGACAAGGAAAGCAGTTAAGAATCTCAGAATGGATAGATTGATGGGAGAAGGCAATGCAACACTTTAAAATCTGGCAAGGAGGGATGCTCTCAGGAGGACTTTCTACAGGAAACAACTGACTTTATTTAGGTGTTACATTTGTGAAGAAAAATCTGAAAACTCCATGTGGCCTGCAACCAATTTTAAAATAATAATAAGCCTAGCTTGTTATTTTAAAATTTTAAAAAATTATAATGTTTTAATGAAATAGGAAAAATTACATTAAATATTTTAAAAAGTTTATTATTAAATTCTAGATGTAACTTAAATAGTATAGAGAAGTGCTTTAGAAGCTAGACAAAATGACCATGGTTGAAAAATAATTTCAATAATACAAAAATTTTTTTTAAAGTATTTTTTGGCATTCATTATTTGAAGTTTGTCCTTAACCAAAATTTTTTAGCCTTAAAAAAAATTCATTCTGAAGTCATTATCATAAATTTTGCATTTTTGAAGGTCAAAAAGTCAATTAATTACCACTTGTGCTAAAAATAGAATTGAAGTCAATGCCATGAATTATTTTTATTAATCAAAGCATTATATCAAGTTAATAACTGTATAGGCTATCCTGATAATCATGTGCTTAAATTAAAAATATTTTAGATTAAAAGAACACTTTATGTTAACTTATCAGTTTAGTGTTGAATGGCAAATTGGATGGTAGGCCTATTTAATTATTTGTATGATTTAATTTGAATTTTTCAAACTATGTGGTGATAATTATTAATTGGTTCATAAATTATGGTTTTATGTTCATGAGAAATTTTGGATCCTGAAAATATTCTGCACTCCTGCTCATAAGTTGCATTGCATCTCATTATTTCTTGCTGCCTGCAGAGAGCTACAGTTGGAGTCAGCCAAAGAGACAAATTCCCTAACTTTTTCTGAACACTAATGAAAATCCCTAACTTTCCAGGTGGGGGTAGGAACACTGTACGTACAAAAAAGTTTTAATGTTTGAGATGATTTTATTTTTGTTATTTTATGATTATATTTACAATGAAATGATAAGTGGATGGAATGTCAAAAATACAAAATGCCATTGAAAAAATTGGTCATTTAATAATGTTTCATTTCTATTTTATTTATTATTAATTAAAATCTGTCATTGGATATTGACATAATAATCCATCACCCAGCTCTTATTCACAATAGAGAATTATATGTTTATTGAAAGATGTGCTTCCTTATATGGTAATGGTCTGATCATCCAATAGGATACAGGTATACCTCGCCTTATGTCGGTAATTGGTTCCAGAAGAGGTGACGTAAGTCAAATTTAGTTGTCTCCGAATCTACTTGTCACTAGGCTAAATCATAAATTACCATTCCTGGTTCTGTATTTTATTTATTAATGCATTTTTAATAATATATGGTTAATAAGGATCTATTTTAAGCTTACAAACAAATAAATTTTAGTTTTTACTATAGTACAGAAAAAAATAATCTAAATTTACAAATGCATGTACTATAAATACAGTACATACTTGTAAATTTATATATTTTGATATGATTTTATGTGCTTTAAACGCTTTTCTAGTGATATTACGACTTCAATATTTGTGGCGAACAGACGTAAAGTCGAATAAAATTACTTAAACTTGATTTTTATTTTTCCATATACTTTTTTGACAAATGACATATCGGGAATGACATAACTCGAAACGACGTAAGTTGAGGTATACCTGTACTGGCATTCTATTTTGTTCTTTCAATTATGAAAATGTTGCACCAAGATTCATTTTGTTGCCATCTTCTAACTTAAAAGTTATTTAATTATATTTCAAATGACAAAGAGAAAATAGCAAACAAACTTGAAATTAAAGTAATTCTGTTGTACTTAAACAAGGTGAAATATTGAACAGCTAAGCTGTGACTACTGTTTGATTGAAAAAAGTTTATCTTTTGTTATTAATATAAATGCATAGCCTGTATAACAAATAGACATTTAATTTTGAGTTTATTATAGCATTTATTATGATATGATAACAGGTTTGAAAGTTGGTTGTTCAGATACTAGTTTTCTAAGAGCTATGAAGAGAGAGAAATCATTGGAAACTTGTCATCTTTTGATGTAGAAGTTCAAGTAAAAATGCATATCATCATCAATGAACAGAAGAGAACTGGAAACAAGGCATGCATATATTAATGCCTTTATTAGTTTCAAGAAAACTCATGATGACTTACAAATATCTGCAGTTTAAAGGAATTTTCACATTATCTAAAGCAATCAAAAATATCTTTTAAAAAAAAATTTTGTCAACAAGTTCTTAATTTTGGTTAAAATCAGCAGATAATTCAAAAGCAGATGCAGTTTAACCTGCAAGTTGTGTGTGTTTAAAAGTTATCTGCATGAAATTATGGTAATATGCTTCAGATTTAGTATTAAGATATATATTCAAGTAATAAAGTTTTACTTTTTTTGCTTCTTCTTGTGCTCGTTCTTTCTTAATCCTATTTAGTTCGGCCATTAGCTCTGCAGTATCTTCTTCATCACTTTCTTCACTTTCATCTTCCTATAAAATTATTTATAAATAAATAAATAAGATTATTTTGGGAAGGGAAAAATTGAATACAAACAATTTTTTTGTAAATTATGATATTATATGAAATCTTTCAATCAATTTATAGTTAAATGTAAAAACAAAATGAGACTAATAGAAAGCAATGTTGTTCTTGAAGAGTAGAAGAAATTTTTAGAAAAGAGTATATTTATTCCTTGACTGTAGAACTACTAGAGTATACAAAAAGTTCCATTTATATTATAAAATCATTTAATCCAGCTACTGTAAAAGCCAATCAATTTTAATGTGAATGTAATCTTAAAAGGCAAGTTATGATGGATAGGAAAGAAACTTTTACAATACTTACAAGTGCTATACAAATAGATATTTTATTTCCAAATCTTTTAGACTTTAAGAGAAATATTATTTTAATTAGAAATTTTTATATAAATCTTTCAAATAAAGAAATAAAATAAAATTTTTATACAATATAGAATAAAAGAGTACATTATATTGTAATTACAATTCAGATTTATTAGTAATGAAACAAAAATGTTAAAATAATAATTTTTGTTCTAATTATTATTTCACAGTATGAAATTATAAGCCACTAATTATGACAACATATCATATGTTATATATTTGTTTCAAATTATTTAACATTTTGGATACCTATATAGTAACAACAATACATTATAAATTAAATCAACAATTATGACTAAAATTAATCCACCCAAAAAACATCAAAGAAAGTCAAAAAGATAAAGCAAGAACAAGTCACACTAACAAATGACTAGTCACTGTAAAAACAAAAGGAATTTGTAAATGTCAAAAAATTCATCAGTTGTTACTGGATATTAATTTATATAGAGGTTTCATTATCTTATCACCTTCTTTTGTAAAAGGTTAAACTGAAATTTCCACCACAGTAATATTTGTTCAAGTGAAAAATTCTTACATTAAGGCACATAGCAAATTAGTGGGTGACTGAAATGAAATTTATTATACAGTACCAGCTTTATTTACAAAAACATTTTATTGTAAATATGCAAAATGTAATTTTGTTAGCATTAGGTCAGAAGTTTATAATTAAATAAATCTTTGGTTTTTTCATTCACATGAGATTAATTATTTTATTTATGAAACTGTAAATTCTGTGAAACTAAAATGATAAGGACCAATTTCCAGCAATTTTTAAATGCAACATTTTTTGAAAAATAATTAAAATATGTGTTTGTAGTGTTTATTTTACTTCAATTTTCAAAACTTTTTTAAAATTTATAATAATAAAAAAACTTATTTACTTACTTCATCCAAAGGATCATCTGCATCTAAATTTGTTGGAGGAAGTTCAAGTCTGGGCTTTTTGTTACTACTACTTGTTGAATCTAAAATGTAAAATTTTTAAAAATAATCCTAATTATTGACAGCATAAAAAATTAATTAAATACATGTGTGTATATATCTTAATAAAAAGGGAACAACTATGAATTCTTCTGTCTATTAATATCTTGGAACTTATATTTTATCAAAACTACAGTCAATCATTTTTAAATGTGGGTAACTATACTTACTACTAAAAATGTAGTAATTTACAAACAAAAACATTCCTAAGAAACTGTTAAAAGTTACACATATACATGAAAATGATTATTATACAGTAAAAAGTAATTGTGAAGAGCTCCCACAAGTTTAAAAGTAAACAGTAAAAAAGTAGCAAGCAGTTGACCATTGGATGAAACAAAAACAGGCACATCAGACTCAAATACTAGACTACCTGAACAGCCACATACATGAAAGACATCAGCCATACACAAGGTGTTTAGCCAGCAGAAAAGAGGGTAAGGAAAAGGGAAGGAGGAGGAGGGAGAGATAGATAGTAGAGAAAGATAGGATTCCAATGAACGCTTATGTATGGCTACTGTACCCTCTACGTTTGATGTTGAAATGCAGTTTTTAGGCTGCAAGGCCATAGTCCCTGAAGGGTCTAAAAGAAAACCTGAGTGAAGCAAATGCCACTAATTGAATGCCACCACGAATAGCTAAGTGTAGAAGTTAGTGCCAAATGGCTGTTAGTAGGAAGACATCTACTTAATACTAATAAAACTGAATGCGAATGTGAATCTTAATACTATTAACAGCTAGACAGACAGTGTGAAAACAAACAAACATAACGACAAACTCAACAAGACGAATGGATAGACAAAAGACAAACAAGCAAGACCCCAATTTTTTATTTATTTATTTTTATTTTATAATTTTTTAACATTAACTTACTCACTAACTAACTAACCTACCATAACCTAGGACAAACCTAACCAGAAACAAAGTTAAGAGTACCTAATCTAACTTACAACTAGGACTAGCTTAAACTAACCAAATTTAGACTGATATGAACAGCCAGAAAGTAAAGAAAGTTAAGAATAAAATTTAATACTTGTACTTGTTCAACCTTTTTTTTTTATTGAGCATTGTCATGTCAATGGTTTGCATATGGCAGTTCTTTGCACAACAATGTGTTTCTAGTGAGTGATCTCAGACTAGTGTATATTTAAGGTAGCCTACCTCCCAATGCAGATGACCCACACTTAGAAATTTCTGGTTACATTCCTGTTTATCTCATGTCACAACAGAATGCAAAGTGAAGAATTACATATATCATGAAAAAGGATAGCTGTATCTTAGAAATTCTAATGATTAAAATGTCAGGCCTTGGAGCCGCTCACTTTTCTCACTTTTCAAGTTATTTTCTCACTTTTTTGGTCATTTCCATGTGCTTAAGTAGGAGGATGTGGGACCAATCAAAAATACTTTTAAAGCCAGATGATCCGCTGGCTGAATTATCGAACTATCAGACTAGAATTTTCTGAAAGAAAATACTTGGCTTGAGCAGGACTCAAAACCGCAACTGCCACTCAGTGTTGTTAAGTAATAGGAAACAAAAATCCCTTTCACATACAGACCTGAAAAGTCAGGAAACTCTCAAATACTGCAGAATTCATCTGTCACTCTCACTCTCTTTTGATCCGAACACGTCTTTAAATTTGGTTCAGTATAGGGAGGTTTACGATAACTGGAGCGACCAAACAAATGAAAAATTTATCGTGCTTATATATTGTAAACTATAAATGATAGCCTCATGATTTAAATTTTGTTGGATAGAAGTTTTACGTCCATATTTAAAATGGTGGGAATTAGAAGTGTGCAGCTGTGTGGGGAGGGATAGCAGTTGCGCGTGAAAATGAAAATGGCAACACAGTGTGGCATTTGGGCAGTAAAACTTTGGATGATGAAGAGACAGGACGTTGAAATTAGTGTCGATTTATACAGAATAACAGAATCTACAATATTACTTAGCAATAATAACCGCTAAAATAGAATTTGTAAAGTTATAATCTGATAACTATTCGAGTCAAAGAAACTTTTCATAATGCCGAAGAAATTGCAAAGGAAATATGAACAGTAATGTAAGAAACATATATCATTGGAAAGAAAAATTGAAAAGAAATCAGAAAAACCCAAAATGACTAATGCCGAATGATGCAGATTGTATAGACAGCATAAGAAAACTCAGCGTGTCAACTATGACGCGAATGTTTGGCGTGTGTTGCTGCCCAAACCAATAGATATTGACTTGGAATGTGATAACCAGAAAGACTATTTGTTTACATCTTATCCTTCTTCTAATAATACAAAGACTGAGTCATGCCTTAAACAATTGTGATTGTGTCCTGTACACAAAACTCCCAATTTTTTTGACCTGCACATCTAGTTAGTTCTCCCTCTGGCAGTGTGTGCAATTTCTTCTTTTTAAATTATTTTGAATTTTCCATCTTCTTGCTTTAAGAAAATTTTATTTTTATGATGCAATGCAAATGTTTTTCTTATTTAAATAAAATTTATGATTTAATTTAATTTAATTAAATCATGAAATTATTTATATGGCATAGAAATGACATAACTAATTATGTAATCAATTTTACGCAAAATTTTTCATTTTTTTGTAAGTGAATAAAGCGTTTTTAATAAAGAATTTTATATAATTGTATACAAAATGGCTTAAATAGGCTTGGCCGAATATTACATAATGGAAAGGGGAAATGCAAAGACGTTAATAAGTCAGTGAATAATGTCATAATTAGTCGGGGAATGTCGGAATCATAGAATTACCTGTATGGACTCTGCATGTATGTAAAAAAAATCCTGCTGCTTCTAAATTTAAATTAATATACAGTGAAATTCTGTTAATTCATAGCATTTGGTATGCCAACAAACCCAATAAGCCAGCAAGTTCAGCTTGTCTTTGGGAGGGGTTTGTGCACCGGGTATTCATCTGGATTTATACGTAACTAGTGTAGCCAGTTAATTAAAACTAAAACTAATAATTAAATTTTAAAATATTTAACTTAAATTTAAAATAAAATTAAAATTTTAAAACTCTGTTCTTTATAATGAAACAAAAACTGAAACCACAGCTAAAATAAAAAATAAAATCAAAATTAATTAATGTAAATTAAAATTGAAATCAAATCAATTGAAACATTATTTTGGAAGTTACAGATAAAGTACTTGTCAGTCTTGATTGATTAGGTTACATTTCATGCAGAGTTGAGCCTCTATTTATAGCACTTTTTTTGTAAAGGGTTAGTTTTGGTTTCGGCAGTGACAGAACATTTTGCTTTTAATTAATATGTAAAATATATAGAATATAGAGTAGATATAGATAAAAGTATTCAAAGCACAAAGTAAGATTCTAGTTAAGTGTGTTCTTGTTTCAAATCAACCGAGGGTAGATATAATCTGGAAAAATGAAGTGGCGTGTTAAACAATCATAAAAGATGGATTTGTATAGTTTTATGTGCAAAGATATGGAAAATTGTGTCCAGGGAATCAAAAAAAATATCAGAAAAAATTCCATTGTCCAATAAGTCGGCATATTCATTAAATTAACATCATTGTAACAATGTTGCTTCTTATTCATCAACAGGAAAAAGTTCCTTGTTATTTATGAAATCATTAATAAAATATTATTTTACTTATACTATTTGAAATCTGTTTTATTTCGGATTTATTAATTTATTTTTAAATCAATATTTACATATCTCAAAGCATTAAAAAATAAACAGTTTCTACATGCGCATAAAAGTTTTGTTTTTCTGCTATTTATCGTTTGATTTTGTTCATAATAAGAGTTGTTAATTTTATTTCAAATTAATATAATAATCACATTACAAAAATGGAAAATTTATATACAAATAAAATTTTGAAATACGTTAAACTATTGAATTGTAAATATAGTTTGTGTAGATCTAAATAATTTACATTTAATGTTAATTTTTGACAAATTATATATATTTAAATGATCAAATAGAATTGGTAAAACATGCAAAAAATAATTTTCTAAGTATTGCTTTATTTTATTGGTAATTTTTTTATTCTTCTGTTCTATTTTAACACGTGCAGAGAAGTGACCGATCACGTGGTCAACACGTGTTTACTCTCTTTCGATTGTGATCGACCAATAAAAATCTCTAGCGGAATGATACCGACAAACTGTTGGTTTATAGCAGGTTCCAAGTTAGAGTATAGATGTAATGGTTTGAATCCACTCAATATGACGCTACCAAAGTGCAAATTCCGAACTGATTGGTTGAAACAAAAGGACAAGGCAGATTGTACAGTAGGATT